ATTTATGATGCTTGTACTAAAAGACCTAAAAACTAAGGGGATCTAAAGTACATTTGGCTCATCAAAACTTACAAAAATATTCCTATCAGAGGTTCCGAACTGCGTTAACATCTCCTGGTGCACGGTTCCTTTTATTACTTTTATAAGTTATTTATTGATTCTGCCTGGAGTAGATCCTAGAGCTACTCCAGCTTAATATTTCTTTAAAATTGAGTAGAACCTTAGGCTTTATCTTGCATTCAAGATCCACGTGCTTTTTCAATAGTGTTGAAAAAATAGCTTAAAATGGCATGGTAAGTGGTTATTTTGTGGTACAATTATCAGTGAGGTCCACTTCCGATTTGAGTCGGGCCAAAGTTGATTCGGGTTCTTCGTAATGAGACGAAGAGATTGATATATTTTACGCTCAAAATGGATAATGGGTGAATGAGATATTAATTCTCAAAGTAGACCCATTAAGTTGGAAAAATGAAAGGAAAAAGTGAAGTTTTGTCCCACATTGGTTTGGGAAGAGGATTTGCCCCTCTATTTATACAAGAGCTCTTTTAAGACTTATTGAATTGTATAGCATAGAGGCTCTTCAAATCTCAAAAATAAGAAAAATGAGAAAATTATTAAGATTGATGAAATGAAAATACAAGCACGAGAGATTGCAAGAAAAATGTGTCATTTCAATTTAAAAAAAATTGATTTTGTCTCGCCGTTAACGGCGTTATTCGTTTGTGACATTATGAATGTACAGTTATGGAATTATGAATGTAAGTTATAAAATTATGAACACAGAGCTCTGACATTAAGAACTTACAATTATGAACATATATAGTGATAAAATTATGAACATAGAGTTCTAAAATTGTGAACATCGAGCTTTGAAAATTATGATTTTACAGTTATTGCATTATGAATGTACAGTTATGGAATTATGAATGTACAGTTATGCAATTATGAATGTACAGTTATGCAATTATGAACACAGAGCTCTGACATTATGAACTTACAATATGAACATATAGTGATAAAATTATGAACATAGAGCTCTAAAATTGTGAACATAGAGTTTCAAAAATTATGAAGTTACAGTTATTGAATTATGAATGTACAATTACAGAATTATGAATGTACAGTTATGGAAATATGAATGTATAGTTATGGAATTATGAACATAGAGCTCTGACATTATGAACTTACAATTATGAACATATAGTAATAAAATTATGAACATATACTCCTATAACAAAGCGGTCTGAAATTTTAAAAAAAAGAAGAAGAAGAAGAAGAAGAAGAATAAAAGATAATAGTGCCTAACGGCACGGTTACCCGTGTCCAGCATGCATGCTGGACACGGGTTCATAGCATAACGATTGACGAGAGAACGGCCTCCAGCACACGAAACAACGAGGGTAGATTAAATTCATCCGTTAGAGTTGTTGGGCCGAACTGAAGCAAGCACGAGATCTGTTAGAGTTGTTGGGCCGAACTGAAGCCAAGAGCAAGCACGAGAGTTCGTTACGACCTAAATTGATTTTAATACAATTCCTTGCACGAGAGTTCGTTACGGCCTCCAGCACACGAAACACTAAGGGCCAAAGTGACTGTTGTAGATTAAATTCATTCGTTACGAAATTAATTTCCTATTAATTCATTTCAACTTAATGGCCTGCTGTTTCAAGTGTTACAAAATTGGTTATAATACCAATTTAAATGCCATTCATTGAATGCTATCACTCCAACAGCCCTATATAAGAGAGGGTAGAGTAGCAGAATTTTATAACAAGAAATCATATTATTTTCAAGCCTCAAAACTCCCTGCTTCTACTCTTTTCTTAGCCAAATTATGTTCAAACCTTGCTCTAGTTTGTCGGATTCCTTGTTTGGGTGCTCAAACATTGAATCGTAGCACATTTTATTCTAGAAAACCTAGGATAAACGCTCCTAGCACTTGTGGGAGGTAGCAAATAAGGTTTTAAGGAAAGAGTGATCGCTCGACTCACGCTAAAAACCCTACACCAAACACGAACCTATCTCTTCATCCTTTCCTTCCCTTTTCTACAGAAAATAATAATCCTTATTTTGTATGATTATTATTCGGTTTTACCAACGGTTACCCAACATATAGCACTTGCTCTAGTTTATTAGATTTTTTTTTTTCGTTTGTTTTTCTAGAAAATATATGTTTTAACTGTGTTTGGAAATTTTCCTTTTTTTTTTTTTTTTTGTATTAATTTGCCAAATGTTTTTATATAAATTTTCTTTGATTTAATATTTTCAAAAATGCCAAGATCATGTGGTCTAATGGCACCAAGGTTGCACTCGTGAGTTCAAGCCTCAGTGGAGGCGATATTGACAAAATCTTCCCAGGCATTGTAAAAATTTTAAACTGTATTATAGACTAGTTTTTTACGCGCATTGCGCGATTGGGATAATGCCGAATGATTTTTTTTTTTTAAATAAGTACTTTAAAGTATATCAGGGCAAGATTATATTAAAATTGTTCATACATAGATAATTGAATGTTAAATTTGCGTATTTAAATAGGCAATTCTACGTTTACAAATGCAAGATAATAAAATCAAGATTGATTATAATTGCTAATAAAATAATTGTATAGGTATAGTTGAAACCAAATACGGGACATAAGAGAGAGCAAATAAAAATTATGGCATAAATATTAAATATATACTAATATTGAAGAACTAACTGCTGATTGCCAAACAAAGACATCGTGGGATAGTTTCTCACTTCAATTTGTTGTGTGATTTGAATACTCTTTTTTGTCAATAAAGCCCCCAAGTAGTTAATATGATTAACTTAATTATAAATATTTTTTATTTTTTTAAAACAATTATTATTATTATTATTATTATTATTATTATTATTATTGTTATTGTTATTGTTATTGTTATTGTTATTGTTATTGTTATTGTTATTGTTACTGTTACTGTTATTGTTATTGTTATTGTTATTGTTATTGTTATTGTTATTGTTATTGTTATTATTATTATTATTATTATTATTATTATTATTATTATTATAATAATTATACCCTTAGGTCATTTTATCTAAACAGCTAATTTTTTCAAATATATTTTTACCAACCGTTGATATAATTTGCTAGTCAAATTCGCTAGTATAATCCGCTAACGCTAACCGCTAACTGCTGATTGTCAAACAAGGACATTGCGAGGTAGTTCTCACTTCAATTTGTTGTGTGATTTGAATACTCTCTTTGTCAACAAATTCCTCAAGTAGTTAATATGATTGGCTTTATTAATTATATTTTTTTAATTTTTTTATGGTATTAATAAAATACTTGGTAAATAAATATATAGCATTATTTTGTATTATAAATTTAATATTTAATTAAAAAATAGTGCACAAAATAAATAATAGACAATGTAGTGAATATAATCAATTGATGAATTTGAATGTAAAGAATTTTTACATTGGAGAAATATAAAGACAATATAACTAATAATATTATTTCTCTTAATTAATTTATTAATAATGAATATTTTTTTTTAATAAAGACATTGTAGGGACAATGTAGTGAATATAATCAATTGATGAATTCGAATGTAAAAAATTTTTATATTGGAGAAAAATAAATACAATATAACTAATGAAATTATTTCTCTTATTTAATTTATTGATAATGAATAATTTTTTTTTTGATTAAAGACATTGTAGACACTGTTAGGAATATATGTACTTAGATTTTGATGATACCAATGTAGCTAAGATTGTAGACCCCTATTTTTCTTTATTGTTTTCTGCTACTTTCGTGTTAAACGAAAGTTGTCATAACTCATCTTGTGATTCGTGTTAAGCTAGACAAACACATGAAACTGAGTTATGATCTAATAGATAGGTCTACTAGAATGAAAGAAGATCGAAGAATGAAGAGAAGCTACAACAGTCGAAGTATCTATCTCTCGGCTAAGCAGCAAATAAAGAAGTAACTCTTAAAGCTGCTCATCTAGACGAAAGATAAAGTCAATCTTTCGTTAAGAGACTTTAAGTCTAAGTCAGACTTTCGAGACAATCATTTTCTCAGAACACAAGAAGAATGTTGTCTAAGACTCAGCAGGGCAATCGTTCTTGGAAAGAATAATCCTAAGAATAAGGTGCACACTAACCAATGAGCATTAAATGATTTGTACTTCATGACAGAGCTAGAAGAAAATATTTGCAGATGTTCTTGCCACCAACAGCTACATGGTACAGCTGCATTAAATGCACCGAGCCCTCCGGTTTTTACCCACTGGTCTATAGGTTTGAAATACCATCTTCGTCCAACGGATGGATATTTCCTCTCCTATAAATACCTATCTTCTCCACAGAAGAAGGTGCTGGTTTTTCTCTCAATTGCTCATTCATACGCAAAAGCTCTTTAAACACAAGCTCATTCTATTAAGCTTTTGAAACCAGTGATCTAAGGTGTGAAGTTTTAAGCGAGTTCATCAGATTCATCATTCACCACCTTGAAGAAGTCTTGCATTTTCTATAAAGGAGATTATCCATCATCCAGCCAGCAAGCCAAGACTTCAACCTGTTGGAGACACACACAAATATTTTATCCAACATTCAACTCTGAAAAAGACGTTGATAGAGGCGGAGTAAACTCTAGGAGTTGAAAAACCTTCCAAGTAGCTGTCCGGCTTAGTGATTAAGGAAGCTAGCTTGAAGTAGTTTGTACTAGGGGTGATAGTGCAAACCCTTTCACAAGTTGTGAAAGAAGAGTGGAGTAGGCACAGTTGGCGGAACCACTATAAAAATCTCTCTGTCCATCACTATTTACTTATCGCTTTTATTTTCGTGCATAGCATACCATATCCTCATAACCCGAAAGTTTCACAAGCGAAAATCCGTGCAAAGAAAATTAAAGCGAACCAACTTATCCGCTGCGTAATAACCCAGAAAGGAGTTATTTCTGTAAAATCGAATTGAGTCTATTCACACCCCCCCCCCCCCCTCTAGACTCTTCTTTCGACCCTACCGGGACCAACAAGTGGTATCAGAGCAGTTACCTTGATCAGTAAACGCTTTGTTTTTACTGCCTGGTAGATCCCCTTGAGCAGTTACCTTGATCGGTAGATTTTGACCTCTCAAATCATGTTGCAAATTCGATCCCTAGATCGGTAGAACTTAAACGACCCCTCATAGTTCAAAAGAATGTGATTATGGTTGTACTCTTTTTCCTTAGCTAGAATTTTTTCCCACTGGGTTTTTTCCTATTCTAAGGTTTTTTAACGAGACAAACGGCATAAGTCACGGACGGTATAGTCAGGTTTTCCAGCCCGAACCCTTCTTCATTAACTCATCGTTCAGGCTCCCCGTACGCACCATACTCCTGTTTGGGTCGGGGTCAAATGGATCGGGTCAAAGGTCAACTAGTCAATGCATGGGCCTATAAATAGGGCCTTAGCTCTCCATTTTAAGGGTTCCTCCCCTTCCTGTCTCTCTCTCTCTCTCTCTCTCTCTCTAAAATAGTAGACACTCCCTACTCTCTCTAGTATTCAAGAACATCAATAAATAAAAGATTTCTTTGAGCTGCTTTCTCTTGTCTAATCTCTACATGGTTCATACATACATTATTGTTCATACATACAGTAGACTCCTTACGTACAGCCAGAAATTATCTGTATCAACTTTATAGCAAAATTGTAATAGACAGTTTGTCGAAAATAATATTACTAAGCCCATATACCATAAGACTCAAATTCTCCTGACCCTACCCGTTTTACGAATTGAAACTCGTGAGATGGTCTCACATGAAAATCTGCCTATGTATTATATGCTTAAAAAATACAAAAATTAAACAATGTCCCAAAACTTTGGCCATAAAGGAAAAGAAAAGCAATAAAATCTTACTCCTTTATCAAACCACAATCATTATTGTGTGGACCATGGTCCACACAAGCTGTATGGATCATAGTTTGTATACTGTAAAATAATGTATATTCAATACAAAAATAATGTACATCCGTTACAAAAATAATGTATATTATATTCAGGGGATGTACATTATTTTTATACTAAATATACATTATATTGTATAATGTACATACAATACAAAAATAATACATATTTAGCATATTAAAAATGTACTTTTTGTTATAGTCCAGATAACATTGTGTGGACCATGATCCACACAATAATTTGCCATCAACCCATCAAACATCTTTCATAAACCATATCCAAGAATTGGAGAAATAGTATATATATAATCTTCCTATGCTATATGTGTCATGTGCAAAGGGGGTGAGAAAGAAGATTTTTTGCAATTTTGAGACAGCCATTTGGAGTGCATGTAAGAAGCTTTTCTCCATGGAGGTACATGAAGGCCATTCTCTTTCAAGGACTGTTTGGCAGCTGCACATAGCAAGGAGATGATGCTGTGGAGTTTGTCCTCAGTCCCAACAAAAATGGTAGGGAGAGAGTTTGAGAGTTCTTTGTAGGCCTGTGTTGGCCTTCCCAACTCAAATTGTGACCTAAAATCTGTGTCCACTATTAGCCTCAAACTCTCACCCCCACTCTTCATCATCACATCAATGTACTCATAACAATCCCTGAATCGAAATGCTACAACACAGACAAAAGAATTATATGTAAGTACATTTGTAAATATACTCTCTTGATCTCTTAAAAATTGTTTACTTTAACGTACAAATGCACAAATTTAACTTAATTATATATATAAAGTTGACTTGTTATGTATATACTTCACATGATGATGCTTTCACGCCACAATTTCATTGCGTGCAATTGACTAATTCAAATTAAAGTATATTTTTGTGTTGTTATCATGTAGAATTTTTTTTCTATTTTTTTTTCATGAAATTAAACCCTATATATGGGTTTTTAACCAACACGTACCATTTTCCCCTAATCGATAGTTTGCTAATTGAATTTGGTGGTGATAATGAACCACAATCGATTTAATATCCGTAAAATAATATTTATATATATACACACGAAATATATATAAAATATTATTGGATATATATCCGAAATATATATATACACACAAATATATATAAAACGGACCCAACGGTTATATATACATGTATATCTACGAAAAAGATATACCAAGATATATCAAACAAAAAGAAAATATAATCCTTAGATTATAATTCCAAAACAACAAGAAAGAACGGATTTTTGCTTAGAGCATAATCCAAAACAAGAAAGAAGGAGAAGGAAGAAAGATTCGTACGAGTTAGGCGAAGTGCCTGTCTTTCCTTAAAACCTTATTTGCCACCTCCCAAAAGTGCTAGGAGCGTTGTGGCCTAAGTTTCCCAGGATAAAACGTACAACGGTTCGACGTTTGAGCACCCAAACGAACGAACCCGGCGAACTAGAGCATGGGACGAACACAGCTACAAGAAGGGAGTAGGAGCAGAGATTTTGGAGCTGGGAAAACAGAATTTCAGTGTTGTGTGTGTTGTTTTCAATCCGTGTTGAAACACTGCTGCTACACCCATTCTTATATAGGAGGTGAGGAATCAATAGCATTTAGTTTAGCATTTAATCCACGATTTGTAACACCTGAAACAGCCACCATTATTGAGATTTAACTCAAAAATTCAAAAGGTGGAATTAATACAAGATTAATCCTGTAACAGTCCAGAACCAACAAATGGTCCGCGCTGTTTCAGCTCAGTTACTTTCGGGATGCACGAAAGTTCGTGCTTCAGTGCACACGAGACTGAACTCTCGTGTAAGTCGCACGAGAGTTCGAACTCTCGTGTAACCTCATGACAGCGCACGAGAGATCAAGATCAAACTCTCGTGCCCGAGCTCAGGCTTGAATCAAGCCTTTTTCAATCTCGTCTAGTTGGAATTTGATTTGCACCCCCCGCCCCCGCGCGAGAGAGCCTCTATGCTATACAATTCTACAAGCTCTAAAAAAGCTCTTGTATAAAAGGGGGGTGAAATCCTCTTTCCAAATCAATGTGGGACAAAGCTCACTTTTCCCTTACATTTTTCCAACTCAATGGGTCTACTTTGAGAATCAATATCTCATTCACCCATTATCCGTTTTGAGCGTACAATATATCAATATCTTCGTCTCTCTACGAAGAATCCGAATCCACTTTGACCTGATCCAAATCGAAAGTGGACCCCACTGATAATTGTACCACAAAATAGCCACTTAATATGTCATTTTATGTCATTTTAATGCTATTTTTCCAACAGAATTCTTATAAGGGAATGTAAGCTATTGCCTAACATAAATTTAAAAGAAATTTGCACATATATGTGGGTGTGCAGTGTAACTTTGAAAGTGCCCGGGCACATGTATATAAACAAGCCCGGGCACACATACTACTGAAGAAATGCACTGTAACTACTACACGAATGTACTGCAACTACTTCCAAACATGCCGGCATTGGTGTTGTAGTTGTGGTGCATTCGTATAGTCATTGCGGTGTATTCATTCAGTTCTCACGGAAAGTCCAGTTCGCATGCATCTGTATTTCAGTATTATCATGTTTAAAAAGAAAGTAGGGGGGAAATAATAGAAATAATCACTTTTTTCAAGAACAAAATACTCAGCTTCTTCTTTAAAATTTATTCTGGTGAAAATTATTGCATATATATTAGTATATATATGAAAGAGTAAATTAAATTGCACAAAAAAAAAAAAGAGTAAATTAAAAGGGAAGAAAATGGGTTGAGAAATATATACCTGAAGGGCGACCAAAAGTAGTGACCCAAGAAGTTGTACAAAGGGAAGCTTCGTACTCATCCATTCTCAATCTGCTTACTATCCATTTCCTCAGCTTCTCACCCTCCAAATTCCTCACTTCTCTCCAATAAAACAAGATTTTCCCAAGAATCTCCGCCTCTGAATCTGTGACACTCTCAAGAATTTCCTTTAAAAACAACAACAAAAAAAGGCACAAATTTTATTATGTATTATTGTTGTGCCTACGAGGAAATTTAAAAAAAAAAAAAACATCAAACAAAAGTAAAGTAAACCCCAAGTCAACACTACATCGGAGTTCACATATATACAGTTACCTGCAGAGAGAGAAAGGTGGTGGGGTTTTGGTCGAAGAATTCAACTTGAAGGCTCCAATAATCAGAAAGATGATATGATGATGAAGAATCATCCAATTCTATGAAGTTTCTCACCATCTGAGATAGATGTATATCTTCATCTGAGATAATTGCCATGCTTTTATCTCTCTCTCTCTTGATTTCTCCTCTTTCTTTGGCTTTGATTAATTTGCTTGTATATATAAGAAACATACAAGCTAGTTCTTTTTATTCTTATCTTCTCCCATAGTTTTTTTATTCTTATTGTGGGAGTTGCTTGGTTTCATTTAATTATTTGTATGCGTGTGCATAAAAGTTATTATTAATTATGTCAAATATCCAGAGAGTTTTTGATTCTTACTCCAATCATGTGATGTCAGAAAACAAAATAAAATGCCACTTTGTCTTACTTCATTCATGTTATTTCGAATGCTCTGATCATATTATATATCACAATTACAAGTTACAAATTTTATTTTGATTACTCTTTTTTTTTTTTTGAGAGAATTTCGATTACTCAGGATATAATTTATTTTTGGAATAAGTTTCAAATTGACCACTGAACGTAACCTGAAAATGCAATTAAGAACGAAAAAAAAATGTAATTAGACCACTGAACACTCCAAATGTATGCAATTTCACCTGATAGTAGGTTACTATCAATTTTAGCAAGTTACCTGCTTACGTGGCAGCTGAGTTGGCATTTTTAATAATTGTTTAATAAATTTTAATAATTAAAAAAAACGAAGTGGTGGTCGGCGGCCATCCCGTTGTTTTATTTTTTTATTATTTATTTTTTTTTAAATTTATTAAACATTATGTAAAAATGCCAACTCAGCTGCCACGTAAGCACGTAACCTGTTAAAATCGATGGTAACCTGCTATCTGGTGAAATTGCATACATTTGGAGCGTTCAGTGGCCTAATTGCACGTTTTCAGAGTGTTCAGTAGCCTAATTGCACTTTTTTTTTTTTTTTTTCGTTCAGTGGCCTAATTACATTTTCAAGTTACGTTCAGTGGTCAATTTGAATCTTATTCATTTATTTTTTATTCCTATTTTCCCTTAATTTTTTTAATTTCTTTTATATCCTTATTTTATTTTTATGTATTTTTATATATTTTTATATTTTGTTAAATACTTATACAAAAGTTTTATATTATTAAACATAAATTATATCATTTGAGTGATTTTATTAAGATGATTAAAACAAGAGTAATATTGACGGTATACATTAATTAAAAATTAAATTACCTAAACCATAATTTTACCAAAATTAAATTGTTCTAAAATATTATTAGAGTTAATGCCATTTTTTTGTCCTAGATTTATTGGGTGATTGACATTTTTCATCCTCCATAATAAAAATTACCACTTTTTGGACAGACTTATTGTGACTAAGACAATTTTAGTCATTCTTCTATATTTCCGTTAGATGGCCGTTTAAAATAGGGGCAATTGCGTCAATTCCGCCAAAATTCTTCTATATATTATGTCCATGCTTGTTTTATTCCCGATTTCAATAAAAAGAAATTAATCTGGGCGACTTGCGGCTGTCTCCGATTACTCCGGCGGGATGACGTCGCTGGCTACAATTGGCGACAAATACTCCATCTCGGCAGCTGGGCGAAGTGGGCGACTGACGATCGTCCTACTGCTGCAAAGCATCAACCAATTTGCTATTGTGAATCGGCTGCTGTGATGGTGCAACCGTCGACCAAATAGGGTTTTTAATTTAATGAGTTTCACTTTCTTCTCTGCGAATTAGGTCTTCAAATGGTTGGATTTACATCGAATTTGGTCTTCAACTTGTACAATTGGAGTCCAATTTCGAGTTTCTTCTGTAGATTGAGGTTTGTTGTCCGAAGGTGTAAGGGATTTTCTTGGAGGTGTCGAAGTCGACCGAAATAATGAAATGTTCGACAGTCTGGGGGTTGACAGCGAGAGATAGAGCTCCAGTGGGGCGTTGGGAGTAGGGGTTGGACTTTTCATTGGATTAAAAACATTAGTATCACTTCAAGTTAATACCCTTTTATTCTCTGAATCTTCGCTTGCTTTCTCTGTGTGTGTATATATCTTGTGCCTGTAGCTAAAAGCCATGCGGTGGTGATGGCGTACCAGAATCAACATCAGCAGTAGCCGCCAGTTTCGGGTTCGGGTTCAACCTCCAGCGGCGGCGTCGGTGCTAGATTTCACCACTTTCACTAAGGTGTTTGTTGGAGGACTGGCCTGGGAATCTCAGAGCAAGACCATGAAAAGATACTTTGAGCGTGATATTTAGAAGAAGAAATGTAAGGATTAGAAGAAGACTAGACAAAAAGACAAGTTTGCCCTTCAACTAGACGGTCAAGAGACGGATTCATTGACGAAGGACGAAAAGTGTCCAACGACCAATAACAGTGGCTACTAACTGGCAATTTTTATTATGGAGGATGAAAAGTGTCAATGCTCCAATAAGTCTAGGACCAAAAATGGCATTAACTCACAAATTATATTTTATATTAAACTAATTAAATTCAATCTAATAAACTTTTAAATTTTGAAAAACAAAATTATTTTAATGTAGAATAACATTTGGTGTAAAATTTAATTGGTGTAATGGGTTGGAGATGAATAAATTAATAATTGTGTAAGAATATTCCTTCTTATGTGACATTTATTGTAGATTTTTTGTATTTTTAGTATTTTGGGTTACCCCATATATATATATATATATATATATATATATATATATATATATATATATATATATATATATATATATATATATATATATATATATATATATATATTATAGGAAAAAGTGTCAAATTGGCCCCCTAAGTCGATCGGATAGTGCAATTGAGTCCCCTAACTAAAAAAAGCTCCATTTAGATCCCTTAAACCTGTAAAATAGTTCAATTAAGTCCAAAGTGACTTGTTTAACAGGTTAAGTCTTTAAATGGTTGACACGTGTCTTTTTAAAATATATTTTTTTTGTTTTTTGTTTTTTTTTTAAAAAAAATTATTTATTTATTTATTAAAAAATATATTATATATAAAAACTGAAAAATAAAAAATAAAAGAGCGGGTGCCTGCCTGAAAGTTCCACGAAGGAGGAACACCAGAGTCCGGCGTCACTCCACCGCCTGAAGTGCTGCTACAGTTCGTCGCAGATCCAGACGGGAGTGAGCGACCGACAGTCTTCCCCTCTTCGCGACTTCACGCAAAATCAGACGGAAGCCATTCAAGATCTACTAGCTCCCAGCAGAGTGCAGACTATTGGAATAGGAGCTACATGAATGGAAAATGGAGAGAAGCAGAGAGGAACGAGAAGATGAAAAATGGAAATGTGTATTATGCAAAACCAGTACAGAACTTTACAATATAAGGAAGAAGATGAACAGTTATGGAAAGTAGGAGAAAAGACTATAAATTAAAAGCCCTATACTATTTATTTTCTATTTATTTTATCCTCCAACACCCCCCCCCCCCTCCCCCCGTAAGCTGGAGCGTGTAGATCCTACATGCCCAGCTTAAACACAAAAGGTGGTGAGGTTCACAATCAGTAGCTGCAACTAGTAGAGACTTGATGTAGTCCTTTTCTTTTCTTGATTATCCAGGCTTCTCATTGAGTCCACCAAGGATGGTAGACCTCCTTATACACCCATTCTTTTCAGACCATCAGATTCTGCCTCCTGCCCCTCTCCACCATATTGTAGAAATCAAGCTGGAAATTAGAAATAAATTGGAGAATGGCAGAAACAGATGTCATTAGAGTAGGCTTTAGTACTGAAGCATCTCCCTGGGTTCCTTTCTTGATTTTATTGGATGTGTCTGTTAATGTCAATGCTGAACTATAGCCAATTGAGCACCATCAGCCATCATCACAATCTCAGCAGCCAATTCAAAAACATGAGTTATTGGATGTACCATGAATGATTCACACCAGTCATGGTACATTCCAAAAGGACCTCTCTTATATATTATAGGAATGGTATCGGGAGAAACAATTGCAACAATGTTCATAACCCACACTTTCAAATCTTTCAATGCAGCCTCAAATCCTCCATAGACAGCATTCATGTCCATGACATTCCGCACAGTAAACCAGTTAATTCCCATTCCATTCAAATATGACTTGGTCACAACTCATGTCCAATGTTTATAATCTGTAGCAAAGTCTTCAGGAGCTGGCTTCCCATACACACCTGTCTCAGTACTCAGTAACCAATAAGGTGATTTCTCCAGCCTAGCAGGCTATGATTCTAGCCATTGAGAACCCCTCTCTGATTCAGAAGTTGGAACTTTGTGCATGCAAGCTTGCAAAGGCACATTCCAGGTTCTTTCTTGAGCAACAATTGTATTCACAAACTGATTGTCTGCAGCTTCCATTGATAGAATGGGCCTGCTATGTACAACCACTCTACTTAAATCGGCCTTACAAACACCTCGAAGAACCTCCACCAAATTTTCTGCTAGAAAATCTGGAAGAGCAACATCTAGGCAGCAAAGAGAGATCTGAGGGACACTCGGCACCATACTGAGCTCCTTCTTCACTTCCTCAAACAGCTCAGAAACACCGGTTAACGGCTTGTTGTTCGAGCCCTTGGAAGCACAAACCAGGAGCGTATTTCCATTTCCGGCCTTGGCCGGAAGACATTTCAACGATGAAGCAGAGAAAAACAGGGGACTCAGATAATCCCCATGGGAATTCAATCGGAAATGGAAAATCTCACCACCTCCTATGACAACGAGAGACACAACCGCTGTGGCTGGATTGTAGTTCCTCTTTGTGAATAAGTTCCACTGCGGAACGAGAGACACAACTACTGTGGCTGGATTGTAATTCCTCTTCGTGAATAAGTTCCACTGAGGAACAGCTATGGATTTCGCCATAATTGGAGATCCAGCGATCGGAATAGACGGAGCTCCTCTCTTCCGCTGCGGAACGGTTGTGGAGATCGCCTGAACTGGAGATCGACTCAGAATCAACGGAGCTCCTTCCTTCCACTGCGGAAGGGCTAAGGAGATCGACGATGAACAGACTCGGATCGCCTTCCGCTGCGGATCGGCTACGGAAGTCTGCTCCGAAATCAGATTCCTCTCTGGAATCATTGCTGATGCCGATCGAATTGGTGATCGAGCATCGGCTTTGTTGTTTCTACTCTGCGTAGCATTAATCTTCTCCACTGCCTGGGATTGAAGAAGAGCACGGTTGATCGAGTTCCTCTGCGGAACCGACTTTGGAACAATGAACGGTGATTGTGTGACCGGAGTAGTAGCCTGCGTCTTCTGATTCACGCTGGCGACAGTAGAGACGGCGGCGGCGGCGGCGGCGTAGGATCGCCGCTCTGATACCATGTTGGAATAGGAGCTACATGAATGGAGAATGGAGAGAAGCAGAGAGGAATGAGAAGATGAAAAATGGAAATGTGTATTATGCAAAACCAGTACAGAACTTTACAATATAAGGAAGAAGATGAACAGTTATGGAAAGTAGGAGAAAAGACTATAAAAGCCCTATACTATTTATTTTCTATTTATTTTATCCTCCAACACAGACTGTGAAAATTAATTTTAAGCAAATTAATGGCAACCCACTCTCCTTTCTGCAATTATCATTCTTACATATCAATTTTACAATTAACATACAAGATATAACTCTACAAACTGCTCACAAAACTCTAATAGTGACCATCCTCTAGCAGCAGAAATCTCAACATGAAGAATAGGTCATGTCATGTGATTAAGAAAGAAAGCAGTGACAAGAACAAATATGGAAAAGCATCCTATCTATGTCTTCCTAGATTCGCTGGACGTTCATTGTAACCCAGGCTCGTCCCTTTCAGATAAGATTAACTCATAGATCAAATGGTTTCCGTCTGATTTTGCGTGAAGCCACGAAGAGGGGAAGACTGTCGGTCACTCACTTCCGTCTGGATCTGCGACGAAGCCAACAACTGAGTTTTGAGCTTCCGACGGAAGGCAGCACTTCAGGCGATGGAGTGAAGCTTGACTTCGGTGCTCCTCATAGCTCCTCCGTGGAACTTCCAGGCAGGCACCCAGCTGTTTTTATTTATTTATTAGTTTTTATATATAATATATATATTTTAATAAATAAATAATTTTTTTTTAAAAAATAAAAAATAAAAAATAAAAAAATATATTTTAAAAAGACACGTGTCAACCATTTAAAGACTTAACCGGTTAAACAAGTCACTTTGGACTTAATTGAACTATTTTACAGGTTTAAAGGATCTAAATTGAACTTTTTTAGTTAGGGGACCCAATTGCACTATCCTGTCGACTTAGGGGGACAATTTAACACTTTTTCCTATATTATATTATATATACTAAATAACATATAAAAGAATCCGGTTAGAATTGACCATTCTCACCAGAATCGCCGATTTTGAAATTAGACAAGAACCGTCTAAAGAAAATTTTGATTCCAATTTTAACTATCCTAGAACCGTGAACTGACTGTTATAAACCGAAATCGGACTATAATTGAACCGAGGGCTAATAGACCATAGAGTCTATTGCTAAGTGCGGTAGAAGCCCACTACACTTAGGAAAAGAAGTTTGAAAATTTTGTAAAACCTTATCCAGCACATGCATGCTGTCATTTTTTGGATGGCATTCGTATATGGAGGTTATGGGTGCATATGAGTCAAACATTTTCATGTTTATTTATTTATTTATTTATTTATTTGATTTGTACCCTGCGCGAGACGAAAAGCATCCAAGCTATCATCATTCAAACTAGACATCGTAATTATGAACACGATACAAAATTGGACACGAAAATAACAAGTTAATATTTAGCCTTAACGTGTCTCGGGTCGTTAACGAGTTGACCCGTTATGTTTCATGTCTTAACGGATCAACTCGTTAAACTTATTAAGAACTCGTTTAACCCGTTAATATTATCGTGTTAATCTATTTGCATAAACCTGTTTATAACCGCTAAGAACCTGCATGAATGAGATTACAAAAAATATCATGAACATGACTAATGATGAATTTACTACATTAGGCCAAGATCCTATACCAATTATTGATGTTCAACAATCTGCGATTTGAAATTTTATTCTAAAAACTAGCATGGACTTCTTTAATTATGATTTTTGTATGTTATTTTATCATTTTATGAATATTATAAATTGATTTTTTTTTTTAGTTTGCTTGATGGGTTGAATTGTATGTTTTATTTCTTTTTTATATAATTTAACTTTAAATTTTAGGTTTTTTTTTTAAAAAAAAATATATATATATTAATAGGTTTAACAGGTTTAAATGGGTTTCATGTAATATGGTGTCGGCACGACCCGAAACCTGTTAACAAAACGTGTCTATCGTGTCAACCCGTTTAACTCGTTGACAAATCGTGTTTGTGTTAAAAATTTGAACTAGCTAACCTTAACGTGTTACATTCGTATTTTATATACTCGTGTCGTTATTGTGTAGACCTGTTAACGAACCTGTATACACAATTTGCCAGGTCTGATTCAAACTCCTTCAAAATGGAAATTATATATATATATATATATATATATATATATATATATATATATATATATATATATTAGTGCAAACTAATTTTTTTGTCAATGTGGGACAAAGACTCTTTTTTCCAATTCAAATATGCACACTTTGAAAATAATTTTTTAACTTACCAATTATCCATTTTGAATGTATTATATATTGAATTAAAGTTCTCACTTAAGAATCTAGAGAATGTGATTGAGTGAAAGGAACTCATCCATCTTTAACCAAAGGTCAGTAGTTCAATTCTTGATTTTGGGAATAAAGCAACCTTAAATCTCCAAGCTCGCTGTTCTATCTCTCAAATTTATTATGCCTGAAAATGATCATTTTACATGTTAAAAATAGCTAATTTTTCAACCGTAGTTTCTTTTTCTAAACTGCTACACCAATATATCTACACTTACAAATCAACATAGGAATTCCAAAAGAAAAAGTCGAAATAAAATCATTATATATATTTATTTTTTAAAAAAGTTACATATGATGTCTATTTGTTCAAACCCAATGTACTTTCAATTTCTAAAGTGCTCATTATGGCCGGATCGGATTCTGAGGCGTGGAAGATGGACAACAACACAAGGCCTCAATTTTTAAAGGGCCTAATATTTACACTGTTCATATTTATTTAAAATAAAAATCATATATTTTATAGTAAGAATTGTGATTTTTGCATTCAACCGTACGTTCATACATATTTGAAATATAAAAATCATATATTTTACAATATTGGTTTCAACACTTATACTTTTGATAGAGTCTCATTTATTTATAAGAACGGGATCACAGAAATAAAAAATAAAAATAAAAAACCGGCCCTGCTGCTCATGACACAGAAATTTGTTAGGGAAAAAAGTTCACACCAAAATCATGACTAAGTTCACTCCCTTAGTTTATTTGAAGCTTGAAATTAATTATTTATAAGTGGATTACAAAAACTCAGCAGAACTTCACTATATATATATTTAAGGACTCAAAGGCAAAATAAGCAATGGTGGGGGGCTCTTCAATCAAGCTTGTTTTCTTCATGCTTCTTTTAATGGTTTCATCTGGTTTGCGTCTCTCTCTATGTATGTGCAATAATTCAATAATAGTCTTTGTCGGGTCAGGATGTGGGGATCCTTAGAGTTGGGGTTCAGCCTTTTCGAAGAATAATAGAAAGCACGGCATGCAATATTCTTCTAATAATTACCTCTTAATTAATTTTTACCTTTTAATGTGTTATAATTGAATTGAACTTTTTTTTAATTTAATATTTTTTTAAAAAAAATTTGTATTGTTTTTTAATTAATTTATGATGATATTAGCTAATTCATGACAACAAATAAATATATAACGTGTTTTCTTTTTTGTTTTTTAAAAGGTTTATGCACAATCTCATTTTTTATTTATCGTTCTAGCTAGGTTACATGATGAAAATTTAAGTTTATATGCCTTTATATATATATATATATATATATATATATATATATATATATATATATATATTGAAGTAGTACATATTGTTTTCTAGTTTTTTCGTTTTATATTCAGAATTCGTTTGCAAATTTAAAAAATAGAAACTTTTAAAGTCATTTAAAAAAATTTCTAATGTTTAGCTATCCAAGGAAAATGATGTTAAATTGTTAACATGAAATACACATTCTAGTTAAGAAAAAGAAAATTCATTTTTGACATACATTTTACTTGCAATACAATTTAAATCTTCAGCTGTCAAATTAAATCATGAGCTATTTAAGTTATTTTGAAGGGCATGGAAAATGACAATTATGTTCTTCGGGATAAGTAATTTACATAGCCCTTTGTATTTTTTTTGAAACCCATAGCCCATTGTATAATTTCATTGTTGATGATTGAAAATTAGGTGGATTATGGAATTAAATGTGGCAAATGGGAGGTTGCACTTGCTTCAATAGGTTAAGAAAATATGTATAGACAAATACTTCATTGAAATACAGTCAATAGTACTCAAAAAAGAGTCAATAGTACTAAAAAAAAAAAAAAAAAATTAAAGAATAAAATGTGAAAATAGTTCAATAGCATGGACATAAAATTGAAGTAGAAAAATCTCTTTTTATTTCTTCTTGTTTTGTTTTTTCTTTGTAGTTCTTAATTTTTTTTTTTTTTAAACTTTATGATATTTTAATATAATCTTTACGGTTACTGTAAACACCTAGCAAGTCATGGTGTACACCATGGCAGAGGAGTTGAACATCGTCTAATTAATCTAATTATCTAAAATATGATACGGAGTATAATTTAATAATAAAAATGATATAAGAAAGAAATAGGAAGTGCATTTTTGTAACATTTTACATTTTTCTTCTTTGAAGCAGGCAGGACAGAAGCAAGTTATGGGGGAGAACTTCTTGAATTTTGCTATCACACTAGTGATTGCTCACTACCTGAAGGATGTTGGTGCTGTGCACTTAATGCTTTTAACCCTGACTGGTTTGGCTGGGCTTCAAAACCGGAATGTGAACAGGAATGCGGCCACAAAGGAGCATAGATTTTGAAAGCATGAATTGCATGTGTGTACGTACACTTCGAAATCCGTGTAGTATTAAGTTGCATAGTAGCACAAATAAAATGGTAATTGTTTTACGAGAAAAACTCAAGTCATATCTAATACATATTTTTCTTAAAATTGATTCACTACCTTTTGAGGGTGCTAGAAGTGTTGTAGCGTTAGTCTCTTAGAATAAAATAGATTATGATTTAATATCTAAACACTCAAACAAATAAGCCTTCAGCAAATTAAACTAGAATAAACGGAGAGCACATCGAAAAGTGTTGGCAAAATTTTACTAAGAAGATATTTTTGAGAGAGATGGAGAGAAAAACAACAATTTTGAAGTTCTCGCACATTGACTTTTTCTAAAGTGTTGGCAGAATTTTACTAAGAAGATATTTTTGAGAGAGATGGAGAGAAAAACAACAATTTTGAAGAAGAGCATGTTTGGTTACTCTAACTTCTCCTGCACCGATTAACCATTGCAAACGATAAGGATTCGAGTGATCAAACAAAGGTAATTGGAGAAATTTAACCATAGTTGCAGTAGCTACAGTTGTGCAACTTTTAGAATCTATTACCATAGTACAAACATTCCCTCTACTTGACCCTTTTGCACAAATGATATTTTCTCTTTGAGACTCATGATCTTCTTTTAAATGGTGAACATTCAAAACCCCATTAACAACAAGAGTATGACTTCATTCACTATCAGCATATTTAGAAAGACAAATAGTAAATCTTTCAATGGCCTCCAAAACAGTAACGGTACACGAGCTTAGATTTATTTATACCCATGTGCACAAAAAAGAGCCTTAACCTATACAATTCACACTTCTTTTATAAAGGTATTGTATATATAGTGATGCAAATCTACATCCCAAACCAATGTGGGACAAATGTGAGACAAGTGCTTCTTCCAAGCCTTTCCACCTTCATTTTCCAACTCAAATGATTACTTTGAGAATCAATTTCTCATTCACCCATTATCCGTTTTGAGTGTACAATATATCAATTTCTTCGTCTCACTATGAAGAATCCAAATCCTCTTTCACCTAACTCAAATCAGAAGTGAACCTCACATATATTTATACCACAAAATAATAATTTAAAATGTCATTTTATGCTAAAAATTATAACATTCATGACTACAGGGTAGCCAGCCGATAGATCAACACTACTGTAACAATGAGAGAAAGCACGAAAGTAATCTTTATTGCTTGAAAGTAGAAGTCTATCCACTTACAATGTGTCTCGGGGGTATTTATACATAGGCGGCTAGCCTAAAAAAGAGGAAAGAAAAAGTTTACAAATTTAACTTAGGCAAACTTCTTAAATTGAGTTTTGAACTTCTTTCCTAAGCATGAGATTCCTTAACTAAAAACAAAAATTGGGGGTGGGAAATATAGTAGGAGATCTTATAATATCTCTCTGGGGTGCCGATCTGACCGACCACCTTAAGAGTCTGACTGACTAGCAACGTCGACTGGGTACCCCAGACCGGATATCCATCAGGTACCTTTCTCTAAGGTTCCTTCCAAGTTTAAAGATGTTGGCTCAAAATAGTGTTGTCTAAAATTATTGGCAAAAACATTATCTCAATCTTACTAGGATATATATAAGGAATATGAAGATTAGCCAAAGAAGGGAACAAAGAATAAATCCCAGACATGATAGGATTCACACTCCCAATACCACAAGAATCAAGCACATCAAAGAAGATTATAAAAGGATCAATCATATCCCTAAGAGATATAAGATGCATTCAATTCTCTATCTTATGTGCTGTGAGAGCTGAGAAGTATTGAATAGAGAGAATTTCACTTAGGAGTAGTATTAGAGTTATGTTTTAATAGAGAGAGATAGTGAGATTTAGATTCTATTGTGTAGAAGTGTTTCTAAACTCTGTACTTTAAAATTGTGCTCATAGTGGATTCATGTTTTTTCTTAATACAAGAAGTGCCTCGCAGATTATGAATTTCCCGAACTGCGTTAATTTTTTATTTTTTATTTTGTCACAATTAATGTTCTAAACCATCACGCAATCCTCACAAATTTTCAATTGGTATCAGAGCAATGCTTCTTAAGTTACTAGCAAAAACGTGATGGATTTTCCTAGAGAATGATTATCAAATAGTAAATCCCCTTGCCTTGCATAGTGAGAATTATTCCTACTCGAAGACAAAAATGAGAATATACATACAATTACAAGGAGAAAGAGTTTGGCGAGCTGTAGAAAAGGGAGGGAGTTCTCCAACAGATAAAAAGGGAAACTTGAAGAACAAAGAGGACTTGACAGAAGAAGAAATCAAGCAAGCTGGCTACAACTCCAAAGCCATGAATGCTATTTTATGAAATTTTCAAACTGATTTGTGCAACAGATATAGTCAAAACAGCATGAGAAATCTTATTCAATCATCATGAAGGAAATTCCATAGTAAAACAATCAAAATTACAAATGGTCCAGACACAATTCAAAAATATAAAATTGGAAGAAGAAGAAAAGATCACTCAATTCAGTGCAAAAATTCTTGACATCTCTAGAGCTGTATATAATCTAGGAGACTCTATCCTAGAGGCTAGACTATTATAGTTTTATTTTATTTGAATTTAATAATTATAATTGAATTCAAATATAGTGATAGAATCTTGAAACTAAAAATGATTGTGGCAAGATTCATTTTAGATAACTCTTAGTATTATCCTAAATAATTATTTATTTATTGGACAAATATCAAATTAAATGAGTTTGTTATGGGGTGAAAGGTCATTTTCTCCACTATAAATAGAGCCCTCCATTCATTCCAAACATCACACTTTGAAGACATTGAAGCTCTACAGATGGCCAATTGACAACTTTGAAGTTGACATCTCCAACAGAAGATCAAGATGTTTAAAACCCGGAGGCCATCTCCACTATAAATAGAGCCCTCCATTCATTCCAAACATCACACCCCATGTTTAAAACCCGGAGGCCATCTCTACTATAAATAGAGCCCTCCATTCATTCCAAACATCACACCCCACTATAAATAGAGCCCTCCATTCATTCCAAACATCATACCTTGAAGACATTGAAGCTCTACAGATGGTCAATTGACAACTTTGAAGTTGACATCTCCAGAAGATCAAGCCGTTTAAAACCCGAAGGCCCTTCAGTAGTACCTTTGAAGTGTTGAGTGAAGAATCAAGAGACACTACACATAGATTTGTATATGCATAACCCGATTTGTTATATATACAAAATTCCATTTTTTTTGTTTACGGATTTTTGTGGAAGGGATTTTAGACTTTTAGTTCAGGATCATTTTATAATGATCTCTAAATAAGCTTCAAAACTTTCAATGATGTTTCTAAGGTGTCCCCATGATGATTTCAAGGATGAATGAGAGCTCATATTTATAATTGTAGGATAAGAAAGTTTTGATAGATTCAAACTATTTTAATATTATCTAATTAAACAAATTAGATAATATTAATATTATCCAAAATATATTTAAATATTTTTTTAAAAATAACCTTTTTATCAAATTTTCAGTGTCTACACACATCAATCTACTCCACATAAGCACCACCAAAATAGAGATTTCATAGATTCCGTATTGTATCGACATAAACCACTTGATGGATAGATAGATGGTACGTGTTTGTGGGATCATATTTCCTCCATTTACTTGCAATTTTTTATTTAAAAAAAATTCCAAAAGGATGTTTTGCAGTAATGGTTATAGAATAAAATACCATTTAGTATATATACTTAAAACAGTGCACAATACTATAAAGGTGCATTGTTAAACCATTCTTGCAATCACCTACGTTTAAAATAACAAATGATTGAAAAAGCCAAATCTTAATCTTAAAAAGTAATAATCCAGGACCATATTCATATCTCAAAAAACATAAAATGCCATCCAAACACAATTGTCTTGGAAAACCCAACATCACCACAAATCACCAAAAATGTCTCAATAACATCAGCCAATTTTTCAAGCTTCACAACATTCCCTAAAAATCATGGTTTGACCAACTAATGACTCTATTTCTGCTGGAACTTTTGTACTTGGTTACAAAAGCATAATACAATTGTAAGTAAACATGCACAATACTGACAAAATTTTCAAGTTCAAATTTGTGTACCTTGGTCTGCTTCGCTCTCAGTTCTACCGCTATAATAGCATCCACACTTGTGCATATTATGGAGAGATTTCAGAATGAATTCTTCTCAATGGGGATAATAACAAATGTGGGGTGGGGTTAATTGTGGAAATATTCATCTTGCAAAATTGGGGAGAATGGCAGAAAAAGAAGAAAGAGAAAGAAAAGAAAGAGGGGCTGCTGTGCGCGAAACACGGGCGCGTCAGGCGCGCGGCTGACCCTTTAGTTTATTTATTTATTTTTTTTGTTTTTTAATTTTTGATTTTGATTTTTTTGTTTTTTTTTTTCCTCCCCTTCCCACATTCTCTCTCCTAATCACTTTTACATTATCTCCCAATTCTCCCCAACCATTGTGGATGCTCTAATACCCAATAACTCATTGCACTTTCGGTCCCAAAGAAGAAAATGTGCATTGCCATTTAAATCGACAATCCTAACCTTCAACCTATACCTCAAGATTCCTTTAGTCCAACTCCTATTACATTTCAAACAATCATGTAGCTCAATTTTTTCGTCTAACTACGAAGAACCCGAATCCACTTTGATCCGGTTCAAATCGAAAGTGAACCCCACTAATAATTGTACCACAAAATAGCCATTTAAAATATTATTTTAATACTATTTTTCAGTGTGGCAAAAATCGGGCCTAATCGGCACCTAGGCGCTGGGCGGTCGGCCACCTAGGCGCTCTAGGTGCCGATTATTAATCGCTCTAGGCGCTCTAAGCTCCCTAGGCGATTCCCAGGCGCCTAGCGATTTTTTTAACCTTACTATTTTTCTAACATTCCTATCATGAGAATATAAATCATTTTAATATTTAATAAATCTAAGAATTAATAGGTTGGAGTAATCAAAACGACTGCTTCAATAGGTTGAGAAAGTAATTTATGAATACATATTGCATAAAATCATGGTGAGGGGGGTTCCTTGTGCGCAGTGAGCACCGGTCTAACCTCTATGGTTCATGTTCAGTTGAGTCACCATGATTTACATCCTCCCAAATGTTCTGTTGGGCCGGGGTGTGGGGGGCCCTTAAGGTTGGGGTTTAGCCTTTTGGAAGAATGAATAAATATTGCATTGTAAGAGCATCCACATTAGTTGGGGAGATTTGGGAGATAATGTAAAAGTGATTAGGAAAGAGAATGTGGGAGAGAAGAGAAAAAGAAAGAAAAAAGAAATAACAAAACAAAAATTGAAAAAATAAAAAATAAAAACCTGTCGCGTGCATTGCACGCGCTCGTGTAGACATTGGCTGTGCGCAAACGCGCACCGCCAGTGTTTTTTTTTTTTTTTTTTTTTTTTTTTCTGACATCATGCTTGAATTTGCAGAACAATTATTTTCACAAATAACCTCATCCCACATTTGTTATTATCCCTACCTAAGATAATTCATCTAATATCTCTATAATATCCACTGATGTGGATGCTCTAATAGAGTATTACTTCAAAAATTAAAATTTGACAATTGACACAGAAGATAAAGATAAGAGAAAAGAAAAGAAAAATACTAAATTACAACTTTACCAAAAGTTAGAAGAAACTAGGCCATCTCTCTTTTGTGTCAAGGAAGCAGTCGGTGATCTTATTCTTTGTCAGTACAACATAATATACACAATGTACAACAGTACAAATCCACTACTGCACCGTTTTCTTCTTTTTTCGAGACGTTTTCTTCTAAATTCATAATCTCTTCCACGTTACCAAAAAGAGAAAAATAATAATAATAATAAAAAAACAATTCCACTAGACCCTTCAGATCTCTCTTCTTCAACCTTCACACGTACACTCATTTACAAAAATCATACATTTCCCAGTTGATCGGTTTCTCTCTAATCAAATCCATAACAGAGAGAGGTAATCTCCTCGTCTTTAAATTTTCTTTAGCTGCAAAGTCTGTTGTTTGATCGATTCTTTTAGGGTTTCGAAGTGGATTGAATTGTGTTCTTAGGGTTTCGGAGAAATGGAATCATCTCCTTCGTCGTCGTCGTCGCCGGAGTTCGATTACTTGTTCAAGCTGTTGTTGATAGGGGATTCGGGCGTTGGGAAGAGCAGTTTGCTGCTCAGTTTCACTTCAGATACCTTTGAGGACCTTTCTCCTACCATTGGTAACCTCCCCATTTCTTTTAGCTCCTTTTTTCTGTTTATTTGCGATTTTATGTAAAGATATGTGTATAATGGTGCGTATAGTGTCTTTGGCATTGGGTTTAGTGTGTCCTGTAGTGAGTCATGGGATATGTAAGTGTTGTGCTTGCTAGAGAAGTGCACTGTTTGGTAGAACTAAATCTAAAATATTGAGCATGATTAAGAACAATTTGGAAAGGAAGAAGTGGGTGTGAGCTTGGATAGTGGCTAGGGATTGTGAGCAATGCTAGAGCCTTTTCTCATTTTACTCAGAATAATGGTTTCTTTTGTCATTTTTCATAGAGGTTTGGACCTATGACCCTTGTGCAAGCATTTCCTTTTTTTTTTTCTAAACTAATCTTTTCCTAGTACCTATATGGAGTATTTAGCAAAATTAATTCCTTATTAAAAACAGATGAGAAAGTTAGGGGATATGCTGTTTTTTATAGATCATCTAGATACAGAGGTCCTAATGTTCAGTTTTCTTTACTGGATTATTCCATCATTGTTGTAGGATCAGTAAGGTGCAACTGTATGATAGTGAGGGTGTTGCCTCAAGATGGATTGGTTGAAAAAAATTAAGGAATGTGCATATCCATTGTGATATAAAGAACCTAAAGATTGAAACCACAGTTCAAACTGCCTCCCAAGTAGTTATGATGATGTGTTTATTTTTGCCCTGCTACTGATTGCAGACAGCACCATCTCTCAATAAAGTTAATATGAAATATATGCTTTACTTGATTTAGTGAGTAATGTACTCTCTTACTTTCTGCAGGTGTAGATTTTAAAGTGAAATATGTTAATCTTGGAGGGAAAAGGCTAAAGCTCGCAATTTGGGATACAGGTAATCCCATCACAACATGTACCATCAGCTAATTAGTATTTCCCAGTCAAATGGTGTTGGGTACTCAAACCAATGATCTCTTTGAACCCATAAGCCCATCAGTGGGTCCAAGTGCTCACCCCCTGTATCAATAATTTGTTTTCTAAGTATTAACCTTTTTTTGAACTGAGGTTCCCTAAGGTTATTTTATGAATAGCCCAATTAATGAATCAAAGGTAGGACAAAAGACATGGTGGGGCTACACTGGTTATAAGCACATGGGGGTCAAAATATCTAGCTTTAAATTAGTTGCATATAAAATCATGATTGAAGATATTGTTTCTGGAATATATATTGATGATCTGGGAATGGTACATGGCGAGTTTATATACATATAACATAACAGACTATCAGCTAAAGAAGCTAGATACTAGGCTAAACTAACCACAGAATTCTAACTGCCTAATAATCATCTCAATTGTTGGTTCTTTGTGTTTAAAGGGCTACACAAGTATTGAAATTGGGTCTTTGGGGGTATGCTTGGAATTTAAGGTCTTATCATTTAAATTTTATTATGATTGATTCCTGCTTTTGCAGCTGGGCAGGAAAGGTTTAGGACTCTTACGAGTTCATATTACCGAGGAGCTCAAGGAGTCATCATGGGTACTTGATCTTTTCTTTATCCACTGGCCTGGTATATACATATGGATTTTTGGCATATGAAGCATGCCAAATTCACGTTTTCAATAAAACAATCATCTATTATATCGGGCTGTTTAGTTTATGAATTTGAATTCAGTTAGCTGCTCTCTTATTGTCTTTCTCCAACACCAACTTTGGATTTGATTTTTGGTAGGTAGGGTTAAGGATGGTTGTTGTGGCTATGGGTTGTTATCTTGTAATGAGTTGAAAATGACATTGAAAGTCCAAGAGGGAATAAATTCTAAAGAAAGTTAGGACTTAGGAGAGAGGAGAAAGCATTATATTTATTGCCTGAATTTCTTCCTGTGAAACCTCATTAATTTTGTTGAGTCATAATTTTTGTTCTAATAAAACTAATTGAGCATTGAAGTTTGAAGCTAAATTAATTTGGTGGGCTATGATGCTTTCACATCATAGCACACCCGTCATCTATATACAAGTTAAAACTGATTGACTAATGTTGCTTAGCTGTCTTTGGGTCCTGTTTATATGCATGTATCTACGGTTTTAGAATAATAGAAAAGATGCTTGAGATGCTTAGAGAATTTCCCTTTCTTTTTTCTTAAATTCTGTTGCTTTTAGTAGTCTGTGCACTCAATAATCTTAACTGAACAATTTATGATGCAAATGGCAAGAAACATTTTCAAATCTCTCTGATATATGTGTTTGAGATGCTTAGAGAATTTCCTCGTCTTAGATTCTTCATATCTTTCGGGAGTTTATGACTTATGTACTCAATTACTTGAATGAATAGTTTATGATGTAACACGGCGGGAAACATTTACAAATCTCTCTGATATATGGGCAAAAGAAATTGACCTGTACTCCACAAACCAAGACTGCATCAAGATGCTCGTGGGAAACAAAGTAGATAAGGTAAGATTTTTTAAAGAGTAATTAAGGTGGATTATGCCCAATCACCACATGCTTGGTTCAAATGATACTTTCATTCTGTCTTTATTCTTTGAACTTTTTTCTGGGGTGATGGGGTTATATGGATAGAAAATCCAAAAGTGTATTGTTATCCTTCATGCAGGAAAGTGAAAGAGTTGTCAGCAAAAAAGAAGGAATTGAGTTTGCAAGGCAGTATGGATGCCTTTTCATTGAATGTAGTGCAAAGACTAGGACTAATGTGGAGCAGTGCTTTGAGGAACTTGTTTTGAAGGTTTGAATCATTTAACTCTCTCATTCCTTTTAATCCTTTGTTCCTGCTGGCATTAAATTTTGATACGTGTCTCAACATAATAAATTTATATAGATCTTGTACCTAAAAAGATAATAATAATAATAATTCTTACCTGAGTATTTTTCTTTGGGGTCAACTAATACTGTACTAGTGTTCACCATATATTAAACTTGCAGAAAATTTTTGTAGTTTCAATTTTCTTTAGCTCCACATATCAGTTTACTGCACATGGACATCTTGATAACTGATCTAAAAGTAAAGAAGCAAATACCTATTGGGTGATGCATCATATTGAGTGAATTTTATAAAGAGCATTGTATATGTATAGCTCTTATCCTTCCATTTCTGTCCAAATTACCTTTCACTGTGTAATCCTATCTTATCTTATCAATCTGTTCTTTCAGTGAAATGCTTCTAAGTTCTTAGTTAGGGTCAAGTGCCTTATATTTTAATCCTTTCATGTCTTGTACTCGCTAACCCTAAGCCCACATTATCTTTCAGTTGTGTTGGTATGGTAATTGGTTCCTTTTGAAAATTAATTGATTAAGCATTAAATTGGGTTCGTGAATATATAGTTTTCTTAATCCACAGATTTTGGATACGCCTAGTCTCTTATCTGAAGGATCAGCGAGTGTGAAGAGGAGTAACATCTTTAAACAGAAACCACCGGAGACTGATGCATCAGCTAGTGGCTGTTGCTAAGTTGAACATCATTCATTCACTTTGCTGTGCATTTTCAGGTCTTTCTTTCCTGTTCTTTACCAGGCTTTCTTTCTGATTACTCTCGTCTTTTATTAGTTTCTTTGAATCAAGCATTGCTATCGAAGAATATGTTGCACCCTTTGTACAAAACCTCATGCTGGAACTCGAAATTGGTGTCTTTATTTTATCTCATTTACCAATACAAAATGCATTTTAGAACTTCCAGTAGTAATATGATGCATTTTAGAGTATTTTTCTTTAGTTGGATTATGCAATTAACACCATTGAGCATACAATGTATAAACATAAATGTGCAATCCGACTATCAGCTTAGATAGAACACATGCTTCAATTTGGTATTAGAGCTAACCCTATGCCAAAGGTCATGGGTTATGGACTATGGTCCACGTGGTGTTTAGAGCCCATCAATAAGTAATCGTGAGGGGGCGTGTTGAACATATAATATATAAATTTAAATGTGCAATTGAATTATCAACTTAGGCTTTTAGTTTAGATGGAACACATGTTTTAATTAATACGACAAAAAATGCCCAATTGGATACCTCATATTTAAAAAATTCTGCATTTAACATATTCTGCAAGTTTTCAGGTGGATGACATGTCGTAAATTTTAATTTAATTTTTTTATTTAATATTTTGTTTGGAGGAAATGGTTCCACCAGCATATCTGATCAAGTAGACTAAATCTGATGGAGGCAATGCCTCTTGACGAACAATTGCCTCCGTTTTTTTTTTTTTTTTTTTTTTTTTCTTTAAAAAAAAAAATCCACATCAACAATTTTGATTGGTTGCTTGGCGGAATCCTGCAAAGAAAGGAAAATAGGTATGTCTCTTCTTGTCCTTCCTGGCTTCTTGTTCGACAGCTTCAGTAATTTCTGGTGGGAGCAGCGGAGTGGGGGTCGTGCTCGGTGGATTTGGATTTGGCGAAGAAAGCAAAAGGAATTAAGTGCTTCTGACTTAACCCATGCAAGCCACTTCCATTTTGTACCCACAACAACACACCTGAATTTTAATAATTTGCTATCAAATTAGAAGAAATCTTTTCGTCCCTTGGAGCTGCGAAATTTGTTTTGTATGCGCATTGCAGCAACATGTAAAGGTTCATTATTTTGTCCTGCTCTGTTCTTCCCCACAGCAAGAAGTGAAAGGGAAGTAGTGATGGGTTTGCTTATGGGCAGTAGTGATGGCAGCAGCTATGGTGTGCAGTGCACAAGTGAAGGGAAGGAGACCACAACCCACTGCTTCCTATCCCCACAAACTACCCACTGCAATTCCTCTCCTCCTCGCTCTAGCACCGGCTCCCACCTTCACTTCATCTCCAATTCCGAAGGTGAAGAAGATTCCGCATCTGGATCATTGCACCACCACTCACACAACGCCACCCCGCTTCATCCCCATGCTCGCCTAAACTACGCCTCCGCCGATCATGAATGCCTCGCCCTCGGTGGCCCCAACCCGAAGCTTTTCTCGGTGCTACTACTAACATCTCAGAGGAACAGAACGCTACTTCCGCTGCCCCTATCAGATCTTCCGTTAGTGCCATACTCGGTGTTCCAAGAACGGCGGGAAGGAAGCCGAGTGCCTTGCACAAGTGAATAAGAAAGCAATCACAAGAAATGACTATTCTAGCCCTTCACTAACGTCTAACAAACGGATAGTTAACGAAAGGACCAAAGCCGGAACAAATATGATAGTCAAGGGTCTATTTCGTCCAAATTAAAAGAGAATAATCAATTTTAAAAAATCACAATAGTTGAAGGACCATTGCTAGAATTAACTCTTTTTAATTTCAACTAATTTGATCTTTAAATTGTTTAAAATTTTGTCATTTAAACATTTTTAGAGATCAAATTGATGAAATTTTTAAACAGTGGAAATTACCATTTTGATTATTGGAATGATTTAATTAATGAAATTTTAAACTATTGGAGGATCAAATTTGTTGAAACTGAAAACTATGAACTATATTAACAGTTGAGAAACAATTGAAGGACCAAAATAGTGATTAATTCAAGGTAAAATTAAACTTTTTTCCTTTGAATTATGGTGATATACTTTATTTCTCCATCGAATAAACAACATTCACTTTTCCCCCTCAGTTACCTCTAAACTGATTATTTTTACTCAAACTCATTAACGATTCATGGTAGACATTCAAATTGTTTTTACAAAAAAATAATAAATAAATAATAATAATAATAATAATAATAATAATAATAATAATAATAAATCTTCTTTTAACTAAAGTATAGAAAATAGACAAGTTAATTTTTCTCACTTATCTTTTTTGGGATAAGGAATTAGGACTCAGAAATGAGAATCGTGAGAAATTATCTTATTTATTTGACACATTTAGGTTAAATGAACAATTACATAGAAAGGTTTAGTTGATGCTCATAAAAATTAAATCTCTCATTTTAGTCTTGGGTGTCAACCGGCCTAAATAGTAAATGAAATTTAATAAAAATAGCCACTTTTTTTTATGTTACATAATCTGTTTTTTTTTTTTTTTTTTTTTTTTTTTTTTTTTTTAGAAAGAAAAAAAAAAATGTAATACAACATTCCCTCTGAAGCTCATCTCATAATCTTCACTTTTTGATGTTACATAATCTATTTTTTCTTTTAAACCCAAATGGTAACTCAAGTAACAAATGAGCTTCTTTATGAAACAATTATAATAAGAATAACTTGATTTTGATTCCCACAAGTGACAATTCCCTTTTGACCAGCTGCCATGCCTCCTAGGCGAATGAGGATTAGTCGGAACCGTAAGACGGACGATGAAAACCCAAAACACCTTGTGGTTTACACCCAAAAAAAAATGTATATATATATATATATATATATATATATATATATATATATATATATTAAACCAATTCATGAGTAATTAATTATATTATATCCAAATGCGATAATTCATGACCATCCAATTCATTAAGAATTTTAGTGGGCTGTTTAGTTCGCGGAATAGGCTGGGAATGTCATAGCATTCTCAGTAATAGGCTTATTCATCTGTTTGGTAACCACTTGTATTCCCAAAAACATTGTTCCTGGGAATGACCTATTCCCTTTGCAAGGGGAAGAGAGATTCCTGGGGGTCCTTGGTATTAGACTATTCCTCAGTTCTCAGGAATAGCGTAAAGTTTCTATTTACTATTTTACCCCCCAATTAAATTTCACCGCTGCCGCCACCACCATCGCCACAGCCGCCACCATCACCCTATCACCACCACCGCTACCGCCACCATCACCACCATCACATATTTTTATAAGGGTATTTATATCTTTTAAAACATATTTCATTTCTATTCCTTAAATCAACCAAACACTGTAATATAATTCTTAAAGTCTATTCCTTCCGTGAATCAAACAATAGAATACAATTCATATTCTATTTCTTGCTTAGTCCATTCCTTACAAAATAACATTCATATTACCTCAAAATTCATTCCGTGAACCAAACTTGCTGTAAATGAAAACTTTTGTAGTGAGTTGTGGTTTGGTAAAATTGTATTTGTACGTCTTGCATTTGGTTGAGGTGCTACGGCCTACGGGCGAGGGTACAATACCAAAGAGCCCTCTGATGTAGACCGTAGAATTTTTCCAAGAAAAATATACTAAAATAGGCAAGGCAAATTCAACTCAACCTATTTTAGGCTCACATTTAAATGCATTCAATTATCAAGGTTAAAACATGCATCACATATAAATTACAGATTTCTCCAAATACTTAAAATACCAATCACTGATTAATTCAATAATTGAGCATTTGCCAAAAGGATGGTTTAACAAGTGAGCACAACATCCTCCATTTTTCGATCCTTAACCTGCAAGACAGAAAATATTTTTTTTAAAAAAAATGCCAAACATCTATCGTAATGAATTTTGAGAGCAATTTGGGACTCATAGATGATGGACCTTTAGCGGGGTGCATTCATGGATTCTCAAACCGTACAACGACGCAAGTAATATTGTCGGTGCTTCCTCTTCCAAAAGCTTCCTCTATAAGTTTCCGAGATGCTGCTTCTGCGTCTTTTATCTCATCCACAATTGCTACAGCTTCCTGTATGTATAGGGGGGAAAATAATTTCATCCAACCAACAAACATATGTTTTATGCATTACACATCTCACCAAAACAACACAACAATATATATAAGATTTTTGTTGAATAGTAGAAATCCTAGTCCTATTCCTAGGAGTGGGGGTTTAGCCCAATGTTCCTATAAATATAGGACCTCTATTATTAATAGAATAATAATATATTTCCTTTATTCTATTTCTTTGGTTTCTCACATATTTTGCATCCACCTAACTGGTGGATTGATGACTATTCGTCATCCGCCAAGTCTTTCAATCTTCAATTTCAACATCGTACCGAAGCCCCAAACCCCACATTATTTTTTTTTATAAAATATTTCATAAAAAATAGAAGAGGGAAGATCTAATGAGTCAGTGTCTTCCCTCATTCCATTAGGGGATAAAGTAGAATATATGATTAAAAAAACCTTGAGCCTCAGAAGAAAATGACTTCTATCAAACATTAGATTATTTAGTCAATTTGGTATCATTCACACTCAAAAGACAACCTTAAAGTGACATGTGAACACTATAAGTTTTGTTGCATTAGAACTTGCAGTAGGCCAATCAACAGAAGGCTCAAAAGGTGCTAACCTTATTTGACAAGACATTCCAAAGCCCGTCACTGGCAATGATTATAAAATCAACACCTTCAATTTCTTCTTCCTGAAAATAAGAATAGCTAATGTTAGCAGTTCTGTGAAAATGAGTACAACTGATAGCAGCAGTAACATGAAAACAAAATTAAATAAAACCAGTCTGATCAATGAAAGTGATAATTCATGTATTCAGAGAAAACATGAATTATGGTATGTGCTTTGAAAATTTCAACATCCAATTTCAGGAGGGGCAAAAAATGTTAATTCTGGACAAATAATTGATCCATGGCAAGACATACAACATTAGATTTGAGCTTCTAGAGCTGGACTTCTAAAATATTATGCCATGTTGCTTTACGCAGTTAAGATTATTTAGAGCTATAATTTATCCATGTGTATTCTACGAAGTCAAAGGTGGATGGTTTCAATCTTCTGTACTCTAGCACAGAGTAAATGCAGTTTTGCTGGCTATCAAACAAATATCACCTTAATCTCAGGCTCAGCTACAACATATGGTTTTAGAAGTTTATCTCCAAATGCACGAGAAACGGCAAGAACACCACCAACACGCCAGGTACCTGAAGAATTAAATTGTAACTTGGTGAAGCATACAATACTAAATTTCAACCAAGTATTTAGAGACAGATAAAAGATTCAGTAAATTGCAGAATAAAGAGTTATGACATAAGGTTAATACGGAGTAATATAATATTTGCTATTACAGAGACTGCACACAGCTACCATAAGAAAGCTCTTCAACTCAAACAGGTACCAAGCCCACACCATCAGAAGGGATCAAATGTAGAAAGAAAACTGTTCTCTCATAAAATAACAAAGATGCTGGTTCCTTTCATTGCAGAAGAAGAGAACTTTACTTATATAATGAACATATAAATATGTGGCTCAGGAATGACTATAATAGTATAATGTACTACTGAAGCATTCAAGAATCCAGACCATACTGATACCTGGTGCAATGATATACTGAAAATTTTACTAGAGAAAATGAATATAATATCCATTTTATGGTGGGATAGTTTAGATTATTTCCTAGAATCTTTACTAGAAATCTATACTATATTCCTACAGTGATTAAGGATAGTTTAGATTATTTCCTATTAGATTTAGAATTTAGTATCTTAATATTTTACTTTCCTATATTAGTTTGATACCTACTTTATTTATTATTCCTTTTCCTAGGTTTAGTTTCTTAGACTAGCTTGTTTACTAGTTAGATTAAGCATATCTTATGCCTATAAATATGTTTGTTGCCTTTGGCGTAATTATTAAACTTTTATTCAATTATTATTCTTCATAACTTGAAATTAGTTAGTTCCCTTTCTCTATTCTTTGTTTGTTTCTTGCAAGAATTAGCATCCAGTGCCTTTGTGAATTTTTTATACTTGAAAATGATCATGCATTCCACACTTTGCCTGCATAATTTTGCAACAAAGTAGGTTTTTCCTAGATTAATGGGTCCCTAATGCTAATGTAACAGTCTAATTGACAGAGCCAAGTACAATCAAATCACCAGATGGGAGAGAGTTGAGGGAATTGCCTATAACCAAGCCATCTTGTGAGAACCATATAAAGCAAAATATAGTCATTCAAGCTCAATGGCTGAAAGATGTTCCCAATGCTCAAAACGGATGACAACTTATAGGCTTATAGCAACAAACTTGTTTCGGCACACAATAGATCACAATGTTGTTCAAAATACATATAAATTTGTCAAGGGCAGAATGAACCACTCAAACAATTCATCCTCCTCAAAGTACAACTAAATAGTTCTTGGCCATCATGAGTTCCCAATTATGAGCTTATCACAGATGCTGAGAATTTAAAGGAAGAATACTACATGGCAAGAGATGTAAGAGTGACAACAAAAAGTTGTCCTACTATGCATAAGAAGACCAATTTATAGGAAGAACACTACATGGCAAGAGATGTAAGAGTGACAACAAAAAAGTTGTCCTACTATGCATAAGAAGACCAATCATACTGAATAAAGTCCAAGAACAACCATTTGTCCCACTGAGGTAAAACTAAAGGAACTTACAGTTCTCTTATCTCATATACAACCTAAGATAGATTTGTTCACCTAAAGAATAGTGAAAATTTTCCTTAACATAGAAGAAAATATGTTGAAGTTGTTAATGAGGATTTAGTTTCATGATCAAGTTGAAAAGACAGCAAGTGAGAAGGTGATATTCATTGATTATATTCAAGCAGATTTAAAGGAAGAAGTTGTTGATGCTCATGAACATGAATTACATGATTTTGAAAAAAGCAAGACAGAGGTTCATGCAATTGGTTCTAAAGATGCTTCAAAAGATGTTGAAAATTTTGATTTTCTGAAAATTGGAGATGCTCAGGAAGTTAAATAGTTAATAATGCAAGCCAAATTTAGATATAGCAAGCAAGTAAGGTGTAAAACAATATAAGGAATCAATACTATTTTCCTACAATGATTAGGGATAGCTTAGTTTCTTTCCTTTTCCTTTTGCTTTTCTAGATTAGTTTGATTCTTAGTTTATCAGTGATTCATTTTTCTAGTATTAATTTCTTAAAATAGTTAGATTAAGCATATCTTGTGCCTATAAATAACACTTGTAGCCTTGGGCCTAAACATTCAACTTTTGATAAATTATTTATTATTCTTCCTAGTTTGAGGCTAGTTGCTTCTCTTTATCTATTCTTTGCATATTTCTGGAAAGAACTAGGTTCTGCCGTTCTAGTGCCTTAGCTAATTTCTTTGCCTTAGGAGGATCACACTTTCCATGTTTCCACCTATGTTTGATACAAAGCACCAATTTATTTTTATTCCATGATTCTTGATTGCAACTGTATTTTTAAACAAGGAGAGCCAACAAACTTCACCACCTCTAAAATTTATGAATAATAAGCAACTAAAGTTGAAAGTAGAAGATTTTAAGATGTTGCACAATAGTAAAAGTGTCACTTAGATGGGAAATAAATGGAGTTTACTCATAAATTTTGAAACTTGACTTCAAAATATACCAAACCTTTCAATAAAAGTTGCCTGGGTTAAGATATGATGTCACTAAGAACTTAAACATGAGTTCAAAACTTTCCTACATTTGAAACAAAATTCATCCAAACAAACATTTCAAGTTGCCAGCAGTCAAGGAGATCAGAGAAAACAGAAGAATTAAACTGATAGTGACGAAAGAAGTACAAATAACACATTAAGAATCTATATACTGAATTCCAATTAGAAACAATTAAGCATGTAAGAAACATTGGGAAAAAAATTGCAGAAAGCCTGTATGAACATAAAACAACAATTTACCTGCCCAAATTATAAAACCTCCTGCTTGTTCTATCCTTTCACGCTCATCGGATCTGTCAGGCTTGTGATCAATGGACAAGGGAATAGCTGCATAAATTGAAACAGTAGCATCTTATTACAATTTAATTACAAAGGCCTATATTCATATTTAAAAAACATTTTAAAAGGTCGAATTACACTTTTGGTCTCTTAATGGTTGGTGAATTCACGATTTAGTCCCCTGGTTAAGCCGTTAAGGGAGCATAATTGTTAAGGGAGGGGCAGTATCCAATTGTCCACCACCAATATTGAAAGATGGAAACTATTTGAAGACAAGTCAGTTATCAGGGGACTGATTTTCAACTTACTAACCATTAAGGAACCAACAATGCAACTCACCCAAAAATTAAAAGAATAAATAAAAAATAAAAATAAGACTCTTTAGGAAGATCAGAAAAGGATAATCCTAAATCAAGAATAAAGTACAATGGTCGATATCCATCATTAGACACATTCTATCATAAAGCTGAGTATTTTTCCAAACATTTCTCCTCATTTAGTCATTTGTTTTTCTAACCTGATAAGTAATATGATTCACTACAAGTCAACAGAGATGAGAGGTGTGCACAAATTCAAATGTTCAGCATCTTTAAAAATATACGTTATTTGCTTCAACCAAGCTAGCAATAGACTAAAAGCATAGCCAAAAATTCAACTGTCTCCAACTTCAGGCATGTCCATTTTGGTACTCAAATTTCCACACTTCAGTTTGATCAGTGCTAGCATTGCCAGCTATGATTAACATACTTTTCATCATTAACATACTTTTCATCTTAAAATTTTAAGCATTTTATGTTCTAATGAAGGAAAGAAATGAGAGTCACATGGCTATATATTTTGGAGTGGAAAGACAATTTTCTGTTTAGAAGACAATATAACAATAGAATGGAATATGGGTGTGAGATGAAAACATTACTATAGTAGGAATAGTAGGAATATTGAAATAGGAAGGCAAGTGCTCAAATTTCAAACAACTACAAACCTGAACCATTTCTACAAGCAACAACTCTGGAGTCCCCAACATTTGCAACAAGCAATCGATCCCCCAGAAGAACAGCAGTTGATGCAGTTGAACCAGCATCTTTTTGCTGGCCTTTTTCTTCATTAAGGTAATCATCATCAGTCTGTTTAAATGACTCAACTGCAATCCATAGTTTTTGAAATTAAATTATAGCAAAAAAGTAGGTTATTGCACAAAATTAGTACCCCAAAGACAGTTCTATAAATTAGAATGTTTACCTATAGCTGACTTTGTATCATTAATAAAATCTGGATGGCTACTTAAGTTTTTAAAGAGGTTGTTCTTAAGGTATTCTGCAGTTCTGGAACCACCATGACCTGATTGCAGGTGCAGTATGTAGAGAAAAACGTATATCAGAGTTCAATAATGAAGCATCATCATGAGTAACCTCTGCTTGTTAAGAACAAACATCTTAATAGGAAATGCAACAAAAGGTACAAGTACCATCAAAAACACCAAAAAAGGCAACCATTTGACCACCAACTTCAGATATTGTTGTCTCATAGAAATCCTCCATTGAAGCTCGTTTCCCCTTAAAACTAGCATACCCATAGCTGAATCTTGCATTCCGGTTTCCAGTAAGAAAGCTGTAACAGAAGTAATCAATTAGTTGTTTTTGCAAATGTTATACATTAATACCTTTTGTTAGGCTAGGGTTATTTGACTAGTCTCAACATCAGCTGAAGATTTATATTGTGCGCTATCCTGTTCCGGAGTATCCTAAGGACAGATTTAATGTAAAATGGTTGCCTACTTGATTTCCATGCCAATACTTCAAGGAAATTTAATAAATAATCCTATTTTAGGATCTATTTACCAAAAGAGGGCAACCAATTCATCATCTAGTATCCTAAAATAAGACTTAATGTCACATCTGCAAGTACAGAAATGGTATGGAATTCAATAATAGGGATGTGATATCACTATTGCCATTAACAACTTCTTGCTTGGTTTCTTCAGCAATTGGTGTTACAGCTTATCTCCTTTATGATGGTTATCTTTATCTAGGTTTTCTTCTCAGGCTTACATGAATTTGTTAGGAAGAAACACACAAGGCAAACAAAGAAAAAAGTGTAAATAAGGAGAAGAAAAGGGAGTAAGGGACACTTATAATTAAAAAGAAAAGGTCACAGGCACATAAAACTGTGTAGTCACTTCATCTTTCTTCCATTTTCATCCACATTAATTGCTTCTTTAGCCAAATTAATAGCCACATAAAAAGAAGTGTACTAGTATCATGAGTGGTGAAAACAGGTTATAGTTGCGAGAAAGTAATCACATTGTTGAATTGGCCATTGGCCTTGATGATTTGCCGAAATGAACTCAGATTTGACAAATGCATGTTTTATTTTTATTCATCTAATGCAACATTGAAGTGCATTTAACAATTGCAACTTTTTGTTGCTAACAACCACCATCCCTGGCAGTCTAAAATCTTACTTTAAAAAGTGTCATAGAATCATATATTAGAAACATTTTCAAAATCACACGTTTTGGTAAATGATGTCAAAAGTTAGCGTATTTACAAATTTCTACCTGATACTTCGACATACAATTCTGAAAACAGATTTTGAGTAGCATTCATCAGCTAAGTTTGCTAAGCCACGAACTAGCTATGATCCTTAAGTTCGTCTACTACATAACCATTTATAATAACTTACTAGAGTTGTGTAAGTTCCTTACAAATTTTGATGTGTGTAAAGACTTAGATAAGTGCAAGAGCAAAGTGAAATCTCTCCCTCTCTTCCTATTCTTTTCTTTCTTCTCCACCCATCACATATATAATTCCTAATAAAATCATTTTCAACTGCTTACTGCTGTTTCCTCTATCTCTCTCTCTCTCTCTCTCCCTCTTCAATACAAGTCTACAACACTTTCTTCCTTGGTTCCCCATTCTATTTTTTTTTTTTTTTGGTTCAAGTTTGGCATTTTCCACATTTCCCCTTCGCTGTTTTCTGTGCTTTGCAATTAAAAAACAATGATTATAAGAATTAATGTTTCACCAGTTTGCTTTACCGTTCAGAGTTCATTCTCTAAAGACGCCAATCAAACGGGCTAAGAAAACAAAGCACGCAATTACGGTAGAAAATTACTTGCAAGTACCGCGATAATTAGGAAAAAATAATTAATCGCAGAAAGAAATGTACCTAATACCACCACCGCTGAAAAGAGCATTGGAATCCCTAGAAGGAACCATGACTGTTGAGGCAGGTCGCTGTGCTGGCTCTGCAGATGCAGCTGCAGATAACGGCGATGGCTCCGCCGAGGCAAGTGAAGGCCGCGGCGGTTCCGCCGCGGCGGATGCCGGGTTGCCTACGGCGGTGGAAGGAATGGAAGAGGAATTGGCGTCTTGTAGCGGTTGTGGTTCCGCTGAGGCTTGTGGTTGCTTCCCGACAGCGTCGTCTATGTCAACGTTGAGCATTGCGGAACAGTCGCCGCATTTGCGTATAGCCGTATATTTTCTTCTTTATTTTCTTTTTATTTTTTGTTTTTTTGCCCTTTTTGGGATATGAGGCGACGACGCGTACGCCAGCCCGCTCGGTTTCGGACCAGTCCTGTTGAATTGTCGAGCTTATTGGTTCGAATTAATATGTTATTTTATTTTTGGTTCGATGGGTTCTAACTCTAAATTTTGAATTGTAGGGCTAATTGAGCGGGCTGAACCATCTCAATTAAAATTAAAAATTGAAAGTGAATATTCATATTTAGAGCTATAAAAACACACCCGATTTGTCGAGTTGAGCCTCTTTAGTCTTTGTTTAGGCAGGTTGAATTGTATATTTTTCCGATTCGATCCAAATAGGTCGTCTCGTTTAGCCCATAAGGGGTACCCGTGTTATACAAGTTGGTCTCATGGCCTATGTAACTCGCGGTCTCGTGGGCCAATCCGTATAACCTGCAACCCTTAGTCATACCTTCATCATAAGTTTATTTAAATATTTTTTAGTTTAAATGTGTTTGTAATTTTGTACGGAGTAATATTTTGTTCAGTACTTTTACATGAGAATCTACAACACATATCTCGCAATAGGATTGTCAAATATCAACATGCGATTGCAAGATGCCCTCTATGCTATCATCAATTGTACAGAAGATGAAGACATGACAATGCTACCCAAAATAAATATCATTTTTAGTTTGAATTTCTCTAAGTATTTAGACTAATGTTATTACAAAGTTACAAACATTTATTTTAGTGACATTTATAATCAATCTCTCATATATTATATTGCATTCAAATACTTTGAATTATAGATTTAAATAAACAAATTCAACATTCAATTGCCTATACAATAATATCTCCTATATAATCTTTGGGGAAAATGATTTTTTTCCCCTTATTTGTTTACTTATAGCACATTTTTTTCCTGTATTATTTATGTAACCACTTTATCCCCTTAATTGTTTCTAAAGTGGTTATTTCTTTCCTGTTAAATAAATGTTTGATCGATTAAAAACGAGGGTAAAATGATATTTCACTTTTTTTCTTTTTTAAATAAAGATGGAGGGGTTCACTAGTATTGTTGGAGAAGATAAGTTAATGGTATTCTTTTAGCACGTATACATGGTGAAACTATGTTTTCTCATGTCTCATGTGATGCAGCTGCGGTGTTGAGAGACAACCATATGAGAAGGGCTATGAGTGGGGGATATGTGGACCAGACAAATATTCTTTCCTCGATGCACATAACCATGGTGGGTTTCTGTTGAGTTTGATGGTGTTCCATTTTGGCAGTGTTGGGTAAGTTGGTTGTAAATCTAGTCAGGATCTACTTTTACTTTTGGTCATTCACCCATCTTAGAGCAACATTATCACTTGGAGATATTAGGGGGAGAATGTAAGATCAGATTAGGAAAGAGAAGATGGGAGGAGAGAGAAAAAAGAAAAAAAATTAAATTTTAAAATTTAAAAAATAATAATACTTTAATTACTATCAGGCGCCCAGCGGGCGCTATGGTGACAGCCACGCATGACTGTCACGGATGGGCAAAATTACATATGCGTCTCAAATTTCTGAACTCTCCCCACATTTGCAGAAGCACCCCATTTTTCTCTTTCTTGCTTCTCTCTTTTCGACATGGCTTCATTTTCTGACATTATTCCCACATTATACACTGATGGCGATGCTCTTAGTACCAAACCAGTGTACAATTTATAGCATTGTTGATGAAGGTGATGCCCTTTTTAAACAACAAGTACATGATGTCTGTTGCTTCTCTCAGCTCCTTTATCTTTATGTTTCTTATGTGTGCTATGAAATAATTAGGGGTGAGCAAAATATCGGTTAACCGCCCGATAACCGATCAAAAAACTCGATTATTGCTCTTAAAAAAATTTTAATTTTTTTTATTTTTCGGTTATTTTGCGTTATAGGTTTTCGGTTATTGGTAGGTGATCGATTTTCTTCCCTACTCTTTAATCATCTGTGAACTACCAAAGTATAATCGAAAAGAGGGTACAACACGAAGTCAGCCTAAAGCAGTGTAAAAATCTGAAAGAAATTTAGGCACGGAAATCCACAAGCTCTTGAGAAAAAAAAAAAAAAAAAAAAAAAAGCTAAAGCGGTTTTTCGGTTACCGACTGAAACTGACAATCGATTTTCCGTCTGTTATAGTATTACTTTCGGTCAGTTATGACGGTCAAAAATCACGGTCAATTTTTCGGTTATATAACCGATCCCGTTTGTTCACCCCTAGAAAGGACTCATTTCTTCACTTTATGAGTTGGAGAAGCTAAGGAAATGAAGTGAAATATCGGTGAACCCCTCCATCTCCATTTAAAAAAAATGAAATATCATTTTTACCTTCATTTTTACCCGTCCAAGTATTTATTTAACTGAGAGCAAAAGAAATAACCACTTTAAAAACAATTTAGTGGGATAAAGTGATTACATAAATAAAATAGAAGAAAATGTGCTATAAGTAAACAACTTAGGAAAAAAGTGTCATTTTCTCTAATATTTACATTGATATACTTTGAAGCACTTGTTTTAAAATAGACACTAAACATTCTCCCATTCACGTAGCATTAAAAACTAGTTTTATATAGGATTGGATCGTCTCCGGAGACCGAAACACACACTTCTACCACTTAGCCACTACTGTTAAGAGTAGTTCCTCCAAAATCTCAAGGCTCAAAGATGCTACAAGGTGTTGGATTGAAGCCGATTTTGCAGTCCGAGATCATGTCCGGAACTACTTCATGAACCTTTTCACGGTAGACTTGACTAGCGATACAGTTCTTCCACGTGGCCGATTTCCCACAGTGCATGATCTGGATTGGCAGTCCATTAACATGCCGATCTCTCACGAAGAAATTAAGAATGCGCTCTTTGAAATGGCTCTAGCAAAAGCACCCGGTCTAGATGGTTTTAATGCTGGGTTCTATCAACGCGCATGGAATATTGTAGGAGCTGCAATCATCGAGTTTGCTAAAAAAAATTATGAGAATGGCGTCCTTCCCGAAGGATGCAACAATACGGTGATAACTCTGATTCCTAAGGTAGCCAGCCCAGAGACAGTCAAGCAGCTTCGCCCCATTGGCCTTTGCAACGTTTAATACAAAATTATTACTAAGGCTATGACGTCCAGACTCAGGAACATCTCCCAATTACTTGTAGGTCCCTATCAAGCTAGCTTTGTGCCGGGTAGACAAATCTCGGATAACATCTTGATCTTCCAAGAAGTATTGAGCTCCTTTAGAATGAAAAGAGGCTCTTGCGGATGGATGATCTGGAAAATCGACTTTGAGAAGGCGTATGATCGCCTATCTTGGGCCTTTATCCAAGACACTCTAGAAGACATTGGATTTAACCAAGGTTGGAGGACGAACATCTTATCCTGCATCCGATCCCCACGCTTCTCAATCGCCTGGAATGGAGAACGCTCAGATTGGTTTAGGCCAAGTCGCGGCATCCGTCAGGGAGATCCGATTTCCCCACTTTTGTTTGTACTTTGCATGGAAAGATTAAGCCATTTAATTCAAAATGTTGTGTCTGCAGGTCGCTGGAAAGGGATAAAGCTATCACGACATGGCCCTCTCATCACACACCTCCTGTTTGCTGACGATGTAGTCCTATTTGGCGAAGCTTCGATCCAGCAAGCCGAATCCATGCTGCAATGTGTAGACAAGTTCTGCCAGGCCTCAGGTGAACGCATCAACATCCTCAAATCATCGATGCATTTCTCTGGGAACACACCTCTGGATATCCAACAGGCAGTGATGGATAGAACGGGCATCCCACGTGTCCAGAATTTTGGGAAGTACTTGGGCGTTCCCTCACTCCACGGAAGACTCAAGAACGACACCTTCGCTGGAATAATTGAGAAAGTTCGAAGCAGACTCAATGGTTGGAAATCAAAGTCCCTCTCTCTGGCTAGCAGAATTGTGCTTGCCCAATCTGTCCTATCTGCAATCCCCTACTATACCATGCAAACCACCCTTATCCCCAAGGGGGTGATCACAACGGTTGACCGCACTATATGCAGTTTCATTTGGGGGGCTGGTGAGGGTGAAATAAAATGTCACCTTATAAACTGGAACACTGTAACACAGTGCAAGGCCAGTGGTGGATTAGGAATCCGTAGATCAGAGGAGATGAATGTCGCCTTCCTCGCAAAACTTGGATGGAGACTCATGACAAATGACAATTCCTTATGGGCTAATGTGTTTAGCAATAAATATTCTGCCAACCTTTCGCCGACAACATGGCGCCCCAAGAAATATATATGTCTAACGTCTGGAAAGAGATTCTCAAGAGTGTTCCCATCCTATTATCTAGGTCCAAAAGACTTGTCCGCAATAGTAGAAACACCCTTTTTTGGCTGGACATTTGGATCGGGAATCGCCCCCTCCATATTAAAAAACCTCGTGACTTTTACCTTGTAAATAATATACTTTTTTATAATTTATGGGTTTATGTTGAACCAACCCCATAACACCAACAATCCACATTTCATTTTTTTTTTTTTTTAACATAGAATAATGAAATACTCCAAAATACCACATGTCAAGTGGATCAATTTTCAGGTGAGGATCCATTTAGAAAGTAAGAAAATGACTTCTATAAAATGTTTTCGGTATTTGACTGCACAACAGAAAACTGTCTTTGTGTATTTAATTTATTTTTCAGAAAATGAGCTTTTGTATTATTATTTTGAAACCAATTATTTTATATATATATATATATATATATATATATATATATATATATATATATATATATATATATATATATATATATATATATATATATATATATATATTCCGGCCACCCCATATATCAACCAGCTAGCCACCGCCAGCTAGGCAGAATGAGCCATCCTTCCTTCGCGCCGCCGCCGTGCTCTCTCTGTAGCTACCGCTTCACAACCGCCTAACCGGATTGCGATTTCCCTATCGTGCCTGTAACACCGAAAACCTCTTAACCCCGAATCGGCAGCAGATCACCACCACTATCTCGGCTCCTCGCAAATCCAAACCTGTTCCCCAACATTTTCTTGGGAAAATAAGAGCTTCCTGGAAAAGGAGACTGAGCTAGGGTTTCTAAAATGGAGAAATCTTGGAGAAGAAGAGATGGGAAACTTTGGAGAAGAAGAGATGGGAAACTTAAGATATTGGCAGTGGGTTGGCAGGAAAAAGGGAAGTCATTTTCTGTAAAAAGCCACAATTTTCCATTGACCAAATTCTATTTTCCATAGACTTTAGTATTTCCTTCCTTGCCAAACACTGAAAATCTGAAAAATGATTTCTAAAAATCATTTTCCGGGTTTCCAAACACACCCTAAGGGGTGTTTGGTTGGATGGAAAATGTTTTCTTAAAAGTGAAGGAAAATGTTGGTTTATGTTGTTTGGTTGGATGGAAAACATTTTCCGTTGGAAAATGAATTCCTTAAAGTTGAGGAAAATGAATTCTTTGCCAAGGGGTGGGATTTTGTTTTCCACAAGGATTGGGAAGAAAAATAACTTGTGTGTACTATTTTACCCTTATGAAAGTTTCTTAATTACATAGGCACCTATTTATTCATTCATCTTTTTAAGGGCATATTGGTTTTTATATTCATTATTCCTTATCTTTCTAAACCCAACCAAACAATGGAATCCATATTCCCAGTAATTTCTTTTCCACCAACCAAACAATTGAATCAATTTTCTTGAAATTTATTTTCCATGGAATTTCAATTCCATTTCCCTTCAAATATTTTCCAGCGAACCAAACGCGCTGTAAAAGAAGATCGGACGTTGGGCCTAAAACTACCACTATACTAACAGTGAAGTTAACTACAGTCAAATAAAGTTAACTGATAGGTACTAGATATCTTGTTATGCTCTTCATAAATCAACACTTTGTCAGCAAAGAACTAATACTACTGTTTCTGCAACTGTGAAAGTAGATATTTTGTGCTCTTACAATTGCAAAAAGATTTAGACTGACAAGTAATCAATGAAACAACCGAAGTATAAAAAAAAATCCACATTCAGCGGGCACCTAAACAGTATTCATTAGAACAAATCTGTGACTTAATCACAATCAAACTTAAGTAGAGTTCAACACAAATCACCAAAATCCGGAAATATGTAGTTTACTAAAACAATCCATAATGCTATAATGTTAAAAACTAACCATCCTAATTCAAAACTCTTGCACCCTCAACACCACCATCTTCAATTACTTCATCTACTTCTCAGATGAGTTTGGTCCTCTCTTCTTTCCGAAGCCAACAACTGCAAATATTACAACCAATGCATCAGAAAAATGTCACACTTCAAAGTAGAATCAATAGAAACAAATTAAAAAATAGCAAATATAATCAATAGATTAATGTTTAAATCATAACATACATACGTCCTCCGTCCCATTTTATGTCTGGTTCATTTAAAGAGACTTGAGTGAAGTTATTTTGAATTCAATTTTTCATAACATTAAGTTTAGTATTAGTAAAGAAAATTTATATATTTAAAAGCTACTCCGCACATTAAAAGTACAATAAAACACAAAACTTTAAATTTAAAAATAATTAAAAACTAATAAAGAAAATAAACAAAGAAGAAAAAGTTGATTTGATTAATGAATAGTAATAAAGTAAAATGGGACATAGGGAGCATATACTACCACTATCCAACAACAAGTTATCTTTTTTATGCTTTTATACCAAATTTCATCTAATGTCAGTTCAAAAATAACATAACCAAAGCATAGTTAACAAGCACCAAAACAGTTATTATGGCATTACAGCAAGCCAGATTGAAACTTTCACAAAACAACAGAAAGATAATGCCAGCAAATAAATGTCCCATTGAATACATCATCAAAATGCCAAGTATATTGACTGAAAAACACAAAAATACAGCAAGAATCATTATGGACATTTCAGATCTCATAGGAATGATAAAAGCAGCACTAGCTCTCAAGCCTGGCTAAAGTAAAAGTTCTTAGGCTGCCACTAGCCCACTGCAAATGTTAACCTAGAAAATTGAAAAGGTATAGATTAACCTTGCGTTAATACCAGATGGGGTTCTCCTAGTATAGTGTAACCGCCACATTAGAAAACTTTCAATTTAACCATACGTGATCCTTCCAACTTTCAAATCCACCCAAGTACTTCAACTTTCAAATTTAACCACCAAGGTCCTTCAACTTCCAAATTTAACCACCAAGGTCCTTCAACTTCCAAGTTAAGGACACATGGTCCTTCTTTATACATCCCTGGTCCTAACTTTACTTAAACTAAGGGCCACAGGTAGTTAAATATTGAATGTTTAGGAACAAAAATGGCGGTGCCACTATACTCGGAGGACCCAGCTGGTATTAACTCATTAAGAACCATAGAATTGCATTATAACAGGAAGCCCGTAAAACACAAAAACTACGCAGAACACTACCAAGAACATATGCACGCATCATGAAACACATAACCATTTGCCTAAATGCCATAAAATAGTTTGAAATGGAAACGCGAGTGAATATGAAAACCAAGATAAAGTTACCGGCAGTGACGAAGCGGCGGTTGTACTGCATCCGCTTGTGAGCGCGGCCTCGGGGCTTCTTCTTCTTGTCCTGTTTAGCAACCTTCGGAGTTTGACCTCTCACCTTACCGGCACGAGCCAAAGATCCATGAACCTTACCTACAATTACATCAAAAAAAAATAAAATTAAAACAAAAATAATAACGTTTAGAATCATTGAATTCAAGTGAAAATCGGTGATATTGAGCTAACCCATATTTGGTTTCTGAGATCGGCGGAGAGTGCAGGGAAAACTTCGCCCTCTTCGACTGCTGGCTTGCCTCTAGCTTCCGAAAGGAATTCTAGGGTTAGGGGTTTTTCGGAAATTTATACGGATAGGTATGATGAAATTTGGATCGTTTAATTTTTTTTTCTTTTAAATGTTGGGCCTTAAAATTTGTAACCACGTAGTTTAAGTTGGGCCCTTAACATTTGGCAAATTTTATTGTGGACATGGTTGATGTCAGAGCGTTATGCCATGGAATGGTGAACACGGTTCCAACGGTGTTAGTACATTGTTATTTTTTTTTCAATTAATTGCGTAACTTTTCTTCTTCATTTTCACATTTTGCGATTTCACTTTAATTTGAGGTGAACAATGATTTCGGACATTCATAAATTATGAATTCATGCCTGCACATTCACTTTGGAACCATGCCTACACATTCCCGTCCGAAATCACGGACATCCATAAATTATGAATCCATGCCTGCACATTCACTTTGGAACCATGTCTACACATTCACTTTGGAACCATGAGATTATAAATTTTCTATTATAAGATTATGAATTTTCAGTTATGAGATTATGAATTTTCTGTTATGAGATTATGAATTTTCTGTTATGAGATTATGAATATTATGAAAATTCATAATCTCATAACAGAAAATTCATAATTTGATCAACGCGCGCCGTTAACTCCACATCCGCAAATTTTTTTTTTTTTTTTGCCTAAAAACGACGTCGTTTGGCCTTGTGTTCACCATTCACGGTGAACACGTTTCCAGGGCATAATTCGCCGTTGATGTCAATAGTTATTGCGCGGACTGTGGCACACATGTGTGGACTATTGTCAAAAAACAATGTAGTTGTAAGTAATTTTTTTTTTTTCCATGTTACTCATTGTAATATACATTTTTATAACTCGTAATGTATATTATTTTAAAGCATAATGTACAATATTCTAAAATATAATGTATATTATTCTAACTCATAAAGTACATTAGTTTCATTATTCTTTCTTCTTCTAAGGGTGTGTTTGGAAACTCGGAAAATGATTTCTGAAAATTATTTTCCGAGTTTTCATGGTAAGGAGGAAAATACTAAAGTAAAAAAAAATGAAGTTTAGTCAATCGAAAATTGATGCACTTTTCTGGAAAATGACTTCCCCTTTTTGTTTTGGGGAAGTCATTTTTCGCGTTCCTTCTTCTTCTTCACACAATCACAGAGGTGTCGCTTCCTTCCTCTTCTTCGCACGACCATGGAGACTTTCGTTGCGCCGCTTCCTTCTTGACCATCGGAAACCTTCATCGCGCCGCTTCCTTATCAACCACTGAAAACCTTCGTCGCACCGCTTTCTTCTCGATCACCGAAAATAGTTTCCGGCTATGGTTACGAAAACTCACAGCCGGAAAAATATTGGTTTCCGCCTTGGAAAACCAGAATTCTGGTTTTCCAAGAAAGAAACCATATTGGTTTCAAGGAAACCCAAATTGGTTTCCTTGCCGGAAACCAAACCAATTTTTAAAATTTTTTTTTTTTAAAAAAAAAATTTATTGTTTGAGGTTTTTAAATAGATTTGAAGATTATAGGACAAGCTAAATTTCTCTTCGCATTGGCATTATAACAATCAAAATGGTGAAGTATACAATTTTGTTCATTTTCCTACTCATTTTCAGGAAAATGAACCAAATACCAAAAAGGAAAATGTTTTTCAAAAAATGAGTCATTTTCTAAAAACTATTTTCTAGAAGTCATTTTCTTGCTTTCCAAACGAACCCTAAAAGATTGAATCCGAACTCTAAGGATCCCCCACACTCCAGCCTGACAGAGCATTTAGGAGAATGTAAATTACGGTGACTCAATGGCTCAGCAGACAAGCCAAATACCAGTGCGCACAAGGTATCTATCCACTTTTAAAATAATCTCAACACAACCACCACCAAAGTTCAAACTTTAGTCTCTTATCCCAAATACTGCCTACTAAATCATTGAGCTAAGCCCATACGAGTAAGTTTTATTATTCTAACACAATGTACATTATTCTAATACATAAAGTACATTATTCTAATTCATAAAATTCAACGATATCATTTTGGACAATAGTCCACACAGCTGAAATTTGCTGCCACAGCTTTTAGGTTCAATCCCTCGTTATTCCATCACCTCATCAGATGTAGAAGCAAATGTAAGAACAGGGTAAAACAAAACCTCACCAACACAGACAAGTTTGAATTATCTGATTCTAGTTGAAGGTGATCCATTTCATTTACAAATTACAACACTACAATAACCCATAAGGACTTCCAGGCTGCACTTGTATCCATATACAAAGTGAAAAAAAGAAACAATAAGATTATAATTTGACCATACGAGGCAGGATCAACATTTTGTTTATGCTTTTGCCTCTTCATATGGCAATTCTTTGTTGCACATAAACTATCTCTGGCAGTGTAAGAGTCTGAAAAATGATTCAAGATCACCCGTGATCCCTATAGATCGTTGGCCCTCCTCCGTAATTCATTCAGTTCTTTCTCAATCTCTGCATCTTGAAACTGCAGCGAGCCCGTTCTAGCAACGGGCGTTCTGCCCGGTGGAAGCTCACCTTTCTGCTTATCAGTGAAAAAGATGGCTTGTCAACAAAAAATAACTAGTTCTTGATGGTTGTAAATATATAATCACGGAGCGGATGCTCTTATCCAACTATCTAGGAGCGAACATCCTAAACAGTAGAAAATGCTAGAGAAAATAAGAAAAAATGGGTTCAATGTCGAGACTCGAGACCCAAATGCAGAACACTATAAAGCTTGATCCTGGGAGTCATTGGCCTAGTTTGATCTTTTCTCTAGATGCTGAAATATTTGAAGAACCAGGAACCAGGAAGCGTAAAAGTATATCTATAAAAGGCTACCTCTAATGTAAATCCAAAGACCCTACAACCGGAGTAACCCCAGCCAAGTTAGTTAAGGATACAAACTTGTAACCACAAGGTCACGAGTTCGAATCTCAACCTTCTTGGTTTGAGCCGGTCAGCTATGGCTGGTTTACCTCATTTTGGTCCTTTGCTGGCTAGGATCACAAGGCGAAGTTTACCCAGTGCACACCCTCGGGTAGAGGCTGTGGGTTTCCCTCGTCACCCCAAAAACCCTACAACCCACTCCTCCATGAAGGCAAAAGGAAACCAAATATGTTTTAGATTATGATTATTTTGTTTCTAATTAGTCTTGATTCTCTTTCCTTCCCTGTTAACACTAACAACATTGATCTTCCATTCTTATAAGAAACGTGAAACATAAAATAAGTAATTTCATAAAATAACTCTTTTTAACGATTAACAATGACCAAGGCACTATTTTATTCTATCTTTTTCAATTAAACTACTATTGCTAGAAGTGTTATCAGAAAAACAGGACACCCTAAATCAACAAAAATCATGTCGGGAGAGAAGAAATAAACTACCTTGGAGCTTCCGGACAATTCTTTCTTTAGATCAGCAAGATCACTGTCAACAGAAGAGCTCTCCAACAATGCAAACTGCAAAGGCGAGAATAACTTAGAAGCAAAGACATAATCTTGGCTCACTGTTAATGCTACCCGACATGAATGTGCATACAAACATGATTAAATATTCTCATTACAAACAAGTTAATGAAAAAACAGGATTTTACAATCAGTAAGAAAAGTAATTGGCAGACTTGATCAAATTAAACCAGAGGTTTAATAGCCTAATCATTTTTTTTTTTTTAATTTTCACTTCACAAGAATTTAATTAGGCAAATAGAAAACTAAATGACGATCAGTATGCTTAATTATTGTTGCTATTACAACAGGAAAGGGAAGGGAGCTACTTACCTTTCCTTCGAGCTCATCACTTGTTAGTTGGTTAAGAGCATCTGCTTGAGACTCCATGGCCAGGACTATTATGAACGGAAAAGCTATTGTCAGTCATTCCACTTCATTGTTTCATGTACTCTAATAAAAAATGTGCAAGTACATGCCTTGAGGAATTCTTATTCAAATATTTAGGAAAAAGTCAGATTGAACATGCAGAAGTTAATGGTCACAAACTAAATTTATGAAAATCAGGAAAAAGAAAAGCATTATCATTCTGGCTTGGAATATTATACCCCACTGTCAAAAACAGCAAAGCTCAGCAATCAAATTTCCATACAAATTTGTACGGAGTTAAGAATATACACTATAAACTTTTTCCCACTGGAGAGACCTTTCAACTTTCTAATTCATTGATACTAAAGAAAAATGAGTACCGCAAAATTATTAGGTCATAATTAGAAGAGCAATAGCTAAACTTAATGCTCTAGATTTTATATGAAGGTATGTGAGTCAACATGTTACAACCTCCAAAATTGCAGAAATTGCAACACATTAAACAATGCAACATAATTTCAATAGAAAAGGGCAAAATAATTCAAGTAAATTTATAGGCATCCAGCACTCCAGGAGATTCAACAAAAAGGAAGAAATTATGAATTTCAGTAGAACGGAAAGAGTTTTTGATTTCCCCATGATTAGAATTATAACTTATAACATGTGAATTTAATATACGAAACCCCATTTCTGTAACTCTTGAACAAACATTTCACACACACATAGATATAGGGTGATGTTCCAATGACTCAATGAGAACGCCTCCCCCCGTGAGAACCGGCGAACTTGTACATGAATGCACACAATCTACCCTGTAGTAGTTTGTGTGCATCTGTGAAGTAGATTGTGTGCCTTCATGTTAGTTCTCACGTTCTCACCTAAGGGGTGGTTCTCATTTAATCTATATATATATATATATATATATATATATATATATATATATATATATATGTTATAGGAAAATTTTACAATGCCGAAGAGACATCATGCCTACTACTATAAATAGAAAGAGAATGATATTTTTTTGTAAATAATTATCATTCTATTTGCAATAATGCCACCATCCCTTTCTATTTATAGCAGTAGACATGGTGCCTTTTTGACTTTGTAGAATTTTCCATGTATTATATGTTGTACTTACACAACCACAAATATTGACATCAATGATATTATGTAGAAAGATCTTGATCAATGAATCAATAATGTACCTTTTCATTCTCATGTACATTCTTCTGATGCAAACTATCCAAAAGGAAAACACAAAAAAATGCACAAAAGTGTAACAAACTCACAAAAGACGTTTTGTTGTCGTGAAATGCAATAAATGCAGGATATTGAGGCGAATGATATTGCTGATTTGTAGAAACAGTAGCATAATTTAACAAACAATAATGGATTATCCAGTTTCTAAAGACTTTAACCGTCTACACAAGGTGAAGTTATTTGCATGCCAACTATATTAGACAATCAGATGCTTAACTCTTTAATAGTTAGACATAGTTGCTATCAACAAAGAGATTTTCCAGGGGTTACAGGTCGGCTGGCCTCAGACTTGGTCAACTAGTCTTTTCAATAGCTGTATTATCATCTAAGCCTAAACTCAAACTAATGAATAGCTAACACAGAGATGTCCAGAATCCCATTGGATGAATACCGGTCTTGGAGAAAGCAAAAGAAAATGAAACTTATCTTTTGCAAACCTTGTAGTTCTCAGGGATTCTATTATTCTATAATCCAAGTGAGCTATATGCCCTACATCATCAAAGTGTTTCCAAAAAATTTTAAAAATAAATAAATAAAATCAATTAAAACTCAAAAATCTATCAGAGAGAGAGAGAGAGAGCCACAGTCAGTCAAGTTGAGCTTGCATGCAGCCAGAGATAACTTGCAGCTTAATTTTTTAGATTAGAATACCTCATAAGCAACAAGGAAAAAACACGAAAAACAGTAAGCAGAAGGGGGCACACAATTATTTTTTAAATGGGATTCTTATTATTATGCTTCAACTAAATTACCTGATTAAGTTCCAAGGGCCCTATATACTTCAGATACAAGGCATCTCTAGGAGAAATTAAGCAGAGCATTTAACTAGTCAGGTAAAACATGGCCATATGGTCCAAATTGGCCAGTTTCACATAATTTGAATAGTACATGCAGTGAAATCCGCCACAAGTACATCATAAAAAGTTAAGTTAAAGAAGTTCACGGCATCTAGGGTTAAATAAAACATGAAGAAGAAAACAGAGAGAACCTTTTTCCTCCATTCTTTCAAAGGCTGAAAGGGCACTGCTTGTATTCACATTTCCCAGCATCTCAGATACTTTGGTTGCAGTCCTAAAGGGGGATAACATTGGTGGATTAATCCAACAAAATAGGAAAAAGAAAGAAGAAATACTATGCCACTAGCATGTTCCTTATAATTAGATAAGCAATGCTATATTGCTACATCCCTTGTAGAAAATTAATATGTAACTATAACACTATAAAGGGCCAGAACCCACTTAGCAGACTGAGCACGTGCTTTTAATGTATCCTTTTTTGATTTTGCTTCCTGTATCTTGCTCTCTAAAAGCTGTCAAACAAGAAAATAAAAGTTAAAACCAAAAGTTGAATTGTGTATAAATATTGAGAATATTATTATTCAATCCAAATAGAAAAGCTTCATAGCAGAGCACCCGTGTATTGCTGATCAGATTCTCAACCACACCCTTCTGCTGATCAAGCTGAGCCTTCAATGCATTTGCATTATCCTGAAAAATACAAAGACAGCTGATTAATAGAGTGAAAGTACAAACATCAAAGCTTAGTCATTATAGCACATCTTTTCTACTATTTAATATTCCCAAATCAACATAGTATAGCACAATTTTGTTGGATGTAACAAATATTTTATGCCAAAATAATTTTTGTTGAAGACGTTACAATGATAGACATTTTTCTAGGCATCTTCCTAGTGTTTGTTTGATATTTTGAAATATTTATGTAATTAATATATTTTTGCTAAAATTAATTCTAAGGAGTATTTATTTTATTAGAATTAGTTTGTCCTTTTTTTTTTAGTTAAGCTGAATTGTAGCAACTTCATAGGTTTCATTAGGTACTACTGAAAACTTCAAAAGGCTTTTATCCATCATTTAGTTCAGAAGGTCTTTAATTAATTCTACAGCCTTCAGTTAGTAGGGAATTCTCAGTAATGATGTTTGTCATGATTCAGACATCTTCTATGAAGAGTTTAAAACTTGGTCACCATACCAGAATTGACAATTAATATAAGAACTTTCTTTAAAACATTAAAAATTAAGAAAAATTAATATGATTCCTTTGATACAGAAATGCCTTACAGCATAAGATTTTCTACGTTTCAGAGCTTCACGTGCAAGATCCTCATCTCCCTTTCCAAGAGCAAGCTGTGCTCTACGATACCTATAATAGAACCAATGAACAAAAAAACAAAAGAAGAAAGAAAGGAGAACTAAAGCAAGAAAGAACAGTATAAACCAAGCCAAGGCTTCTTGGCTGTTACCAGTCCTCAGAAGCTTGTTGTGCAGCTTTGTATTTGTTTTCCAACTGCTTCTGTGAAGCCAAGACCTTCAATATGAGAAAAAGACATGAACTTAACACTTGGCCTTCCATATACCTAAATCAGATGAAGCAGTGAATTCTGGATTCTTATTTTTGTAGCTAATATTGGTCATTTATTCCTCAGAACCATGTAAAGGAAATATATCAAAGAGCTCAACAAATTGAGGGGAAAAAAACGAAAGCAATGCCAAGAGAAAGCGTACCTGTGCTGTAGCTTGGCGCATTTTGATCAAATCATTGTTCATTTCTAGCACAGTTTGCTCCAGGATCTTCTCTGGGTCTTCAAAGGAACTAATGACGGCATTAGCATAAGACTACATACCACAAAATAAAATAGAAAATTACATCAATGAAGAACTAGTAATGGGAAAACAAAAGGAACGATGAAGGAACAAGAAATCATTGAAAACAAACAACCTTGACTACTCTGGCAAATCTGTCAAAGAGATTACTGCGAACAACAAGGGCACCAGAGGTGAATCTGTTGGAATGAGGACGCTGTCCAACTGCAACTGCAAGTTTTAAAGCTCCAGCTGCAAGAGAAGAAAAGGGCTCAAATGCAAAGGAAGTGAGAGAAAGAATTATGTCACTAGCCGACTAGCATAAATCCATTCAGACATAACACAGCATTCATGGCATGCATCTACATAGTTATTATATGTTCAACATCCACCCAGAATTTGTTAGGACTAGCAGTTTTCTATACATACATACATATCTATCATAACACAGAATTTGTTGCAACTTGGAAAATTTACAAGACATTTTTGCAGTTATTGGCAAACTGAAGCAATATCTAATTAATGCCAGTGTGCACTGTGTAGAGGATGCAAAAATCAAACTGAAATATGATATGGATGGGAAGAAAGTTATGCAAATCAAGCATGTAAGAATCATATCTTCGTAATAGCAACAAATTAGACTTTTGCAACATTTCAAAAAAGCAAGATCACAATCAAGATGACAATACTCTCTAGTGAAGATGAAACTACAGCAGAAAAATGAGAAGCAATAATATCATTACAGATGTATGTTTGAAACATAATATATATATATATATATATATATATATATAAATAACTGCATTCCCACTTGCTTGTTACATGATTTACACCAGCAATAATCTATGTAGAACAAAGCAAAATCCATCCCATTGATGGCCCATCACAAGGAAATTCTCAAACTCCCAGGAAGCAACAGCAAAATGAAACAACCATACAACGCTAAAACATATTAATTGTAGAAGATACCACTCCATAATTATGCATCATGTTGTCCATATCTATGAGAATGTGACAGTTTTGAACCACATCTTAATGGTATATGTTCATTGTGAACTTGGAAAATAAGTCGTGCAGCACATCTTCTTTAAAGTAGCTTATTCAAACATTACACTAGTATATGAAGATACAACGCAATAATAATTTCCTTTTCTTTTACTCCGTGAATAAAGCAGAAGATTGGAATCAGGGAAACAACTGCAAGAGTAATGCACTGAACAAAGAGTTGGTCATGTGGTGTATAAAGTTATTACTAGTGGTATGCTTGTATTGAAGATAGGCAAGAAAATTCATATTACCAAGCAGCTTTTCCATGATTGAATATTATAAAATATTTCTAATTCAAGTATCCCAATTCCCAAACCTTAATAAGTCTTCTACTCTTCTTATAACTCAGGGATTGGACTCTACATCAAAGGCTGGAGACGACAAGAAAACCTCTTTATTGAGGATTCTATGCCATATCTTTAAGTCCTATTTATTTATTTATCGAATATATACTTTTCACTAAAATCCTACTTCTCATATATACATGCACACATACGGAGTCCTGAACCAAAGATATAAATATATGAATATACTTTATTATGGCTGGTTAGCAATGTAGGAATTTGGTTGGAATACGCAACTGTGATATCTAATTCCTTCCCTATATCTGATATGTCCATTACATCAGAATTTTGATTCCTCAGGAATCCTCATTTCATTACATACCTTCTTGATTTTTGTTTCACTGCATAGAACAAATAGTGATCCCCACAAAAGGACCCCAATATTTATTTTCCTAAAATCAAATTTGCATTAATTAAATGATGATATTGGTTTCCTTCTTTGAACCTCTTTAAAGTTCATTCCGGTTTACATACACTTCAATCCTCGAGTTTCAATTAGGGCCTTATACTTTGATCAGTAATTACACATAACATTTTCACTTCCTGCAATCTTGGCAAAGCTTATGATAATGGATTATAGTTATAGTTTATGATTATGAGTTATGAAAAGTCCACACTCCACATTGCTTAAATAAGCTAGAGAGTGTTTCACAATCCATCCATATTCTAAATAATCCACCTGGCTTAAATAACTAAATAAGTCCATTGTTGGATCAATGATTCCAATAATCGCATTAAACAATCTTTACTTAATATCACTATTGAATTTAGACTTCAGTATAGCAACAAAAATACCACACTCCAGAGCATATGGAATTGGACAGAAACCAGAAATCAATAATGGCACATCTAAATTTCAGATTACCAAACAGGAAAAGAAACATACTAGTTCTTTCTACTTGAGGATAACAGGTTTAAGGCAGTGCATTAGTACCTCTACGACCAAAAAAGGAAGTTCCCAAAGAAGATGGCTTCACAACCACTATCCCCTTATTGTTACATGACGGAGCGGAAAGAGTTGAAGCTGTGCTCATTCCTGCTATGGGTGCTCTTAGAGCCATTTTCTTCTCGGTTAACGAAGCAAAGATTCCGTCTTTGGGCGGGACCGTGTAGGCGTTTGGAGAGAGAGAGAGAGAGAGAGGAGAAGTCGGGAAATCAATATGTACTCTGCAAATCCAAAGAAGGGGTCCTGGAGAGGAGAGAGACTGTGCTCTTTTTTTCTATCCTAATTTTGCTGTTTTTTTTTTTTCCTAAATAATTTTTTTTTCTTTTTAAATTTTCCAGTTCTTTCATCCAAACTCCAAACCCATTTTGCTTATTTGGGCTTTTTCTCTGGAGCAGACTTTTAGAAAAGCACTGTTTGGAAATGTTCTGAATGGGCCTGGCCGTTTATGGGGCATGTTTGTTTGCGGTCGTTATATCGTGGACCGCGGTGCATGGTCAAAACGGCGTTGTTTCTTTAAGTAAAGAAACGGTGTGCTGTTAGTTTTAACGGAGTGCACATTTTTTTGTATGTTAATTACCAATTGACACTACAGTTTATCTAAACCGACACTGCCTCACGTATTATTTTTATATTATCAAATGAAACTGCAGTTATATCAAAATGATACTGTAGTTGAGGTGAAATGAAACTGCAGTGTATATAAAATGAAACTGAATAACATTTCACATATTTGAGTGTATATTGTACAATGAAGCTGTAATTATATCAAAATGATCATGTAGTTGTGTTTTAATAAAACTATAGTGTATATAAAATAAAATTAAATAACATTTTCACATATTTGAGTCTATAAATATCGAATGAAACTGTAGTTATATCGAAATGAAACTATAGTTGTGTTGAACTGAAAATACAGTGTATACAAAATGAAATTGAATAACGGAGTTACTTTTTGAGGAAGGATGCGGAACGGCGGGAAACGGATGCCGTTTCTTTTCATTAAACAAAACGACATTGTTTTGATGCGCGGTGCATAATAGATTATGCATCGCGGTGCACGATATAATTTGCCGTTTGTTTGTTTTTATTATTATTATTATTATTATTATTATACTAGAAAATACGACAAATTATACCTTGGACTATGGTCCACAAGAGTCCACCTTTCATTGTGGACCTTGATCTAAAATGACATTCAGATTATATGTTTATAGTTAACATATTATATACATGTAAATAAATAGAAGACACATAATATGTTAATTACATGTACATAATATGCAATTAACATATTGGGGTTTGCATTAGGGGTGGACGTTTCGGGATTGGGTTCTGTTTTTTTGATATCGGTATTAAGAAAATGATACCATTCGGTTTAACATTATAGTTTGGTTCAGTTTCGGTTCGGTTTGAAAATTTTTGATTTTTGTTCGGAATTAGTTCGATTCGGTATTCGGTTCGGTTTAAGAACGCCACTAACAAAGAATACATATACACATAGTCCAAATCTAAAGTCTAAATATTATATAACAAAATAGCAATCCAAAGTTCAAACACACTACTAAGTACTAAGTATTAATTACCAAACATCAGTTTGTTTTTTTGCCCAACCGACCTCAGTTGGTTCACTTAGAATGTTTTGTTGATAAGATGAAGAACCATCCATCTGTATTGTTAATATTTGGAAAACAAGTGTCAAATACTGTATAGTTAATTTTTAGACACAATCTGCCATTGCTTGCACTGGAATATTATTTTTCAGTGCACTGGAAATATATTCCAGTACTGGAAAATAATATTCCAATGCACGGTAAATATTTCCAGTGCTTCCAAGCACTAGAAATCAAAATTAGAATGATGTTGAAACACATTAATTTCATAGAAACATGAAACTAAGGAAAATACTAAATATTGCAAGAATAACTCAAATTAGAGATAATTGAATTGTGAGGCAAAGAACAATTTTGGTTGCAAAGTAGAGAACAAGCCATAAAAAAATCAAATAAAACATTTAAGAGAAACACTAGTGAGAATATAAGGTGGGGCAACATCAAGGGACTTGGATTTACTTGTTTATTTATTTATTTATTATTATTATATTTTAAAAAATCAAACGACATTCGATTCGGTTCAGTTTTTTACCGAACCGTTCGGTATACAAGAATCTATTACCGTTCAATTGTTCAGTATATTACCGAACTGAATTGAACTAGTTCATTGCAGTTTGGTTCGGTACGGTACAGTTTGATTCTGAAAAATCAAACTGAATTGCCCACCCCTAGTTTGCATGAGAGATTGAGAGTTGAGAACCTTTCACACAACTTAGGGTTTGATGATCCAAAGATAATGTCATCTACGTAGATTTGCACGAGTAGAATGTGACCTTCATCTTAGGGTTTTGTCCACTTTACTCCTTGAAAAATCTTTTTCTACTAAGAAATTTGACAAAGTGTCGTACCACGCTCTTGGCATTTGCTTAAGACCATAGAGGGTCTTTTTCAGCATGTACACCTTATCTTCTGCTCATTTGACTGCAAAAAGTCAGATCTAGTACGAGAACATGGCTTCATTTTGTCTAGAAGATCTAGTATGTACACCTTCATATATGCACATTTTCAATAACTTGCTTAGGTAGATGAGTTAAGCCATCTTATGTAGCCCATTAAGTTGGCTTTCCAATAGTACAAGAATCACTCATTTTGGACATTTCTACTCTAAGATATGATAAAAACACCTAATAGTGGTCATGTTGAGCGAAAATTGCAACTTCATACTCTTTTGTTCCATTATGCCCTTGGTTTGCCCATATGATTAAGATCATTGAAAACACAACTTTTAGGCTCTCTAAAGAAGTGTTGTATCCATTTCCTTTGCTTCTCTTTAGACCCCAATAATCAATTTTCTTCCAAAACACATGTAAAATTGATCCTTTTTTTTTAACAAGAGAATTTGTACCTAATTAAACAAATAAAGCAAATGAGGATCCTTTTAAACATAATATTTAAATTTAAAGCAAAAAAAAAAAAAAAGGTTAAACATAGTATTTCCAAAAAAAAAAAAAAAAGGTTAAACATAGGGTAATACATGATTAAATATTAACTTATGAAACATTTAACCATAAAAGAAAGATTGGATAAGTTTGGGGCCCAGGGGACTCGAAGCGTCGAGCCTTTGGCTCGACACGTCAAAATTTTTCAGAAGCAAAAGTGTCTGAGACCTACAGGGCTCGACGCGTCGAACCCGTCCAGTAACTGCCTCCGAGAGTTTTAGAAGGTGCTCGACGCGCCGAGCGTGAATGCGGCCCAGCAGTGCGTTTTGGCCCATTTTCGCGCGAAATTTTTCTATTTTCCTCCAGGGTTTGATCCCAGCTATAAACCCCACATTCCTCAACCTTAATCGAGATAATTCAGAGAATACAGAGATCTTTGGAGACAAGAAAGAGAGAAATCAAGAGCCACAAGTTGTCTTGGGGATCAAGAAGAAGACTAGGGAGATTTGAGAAAATTGTCTGGTTAATTCTTGTACTGTTTTGATGATTTGTAATTCTTTATTATTATTTGCTATGTATAATTTAGCCATGCTTGGCTAAATTCTTTAGAGATTCTTGGGTAAAAGTGTTTATGAACCTATGTGTCTAAGCTCGCAGTTTCTTTAATTAATATATTATTATTTGGGTTAGCTTGTGTTGCAATTGTGTGTTATATTCTTGTTGCTAGTAGTTTAGGGCCTGAATTACTTGCTTCATAGCTTTGTTTATGTCACAGCGAGAGTTGGGCATAACTTAGGGCACACACAATTGCACATAATTGTTGCACCTTGAGAAAGGGTAATTTATTAGGGGATTTAATTCTTGATTATTGCACATCGAGAGATGATAGTAGTTAGGAATTTAAGATGCTTGATCTTGTTTTATTGGGTGTTTAAGCCACGAGAGTGGAAATTCACTAGTGTTAGTGACTACGAGAGTAGCTCTATACCACCTTGTATCCTCACACTTGTTAAACCCAGATTTTAATCTCATCTTATCTCTATTGTTTTCAAAACCCTGAATCTTTGCTTTATTTTATTTATTTTATGCAACCAATCATCCAATCAATTGTTAGGATTAGCTCTAATGAATAAATTAGTAAGTAGTGCTTGATACAACCACTTCCCTGTGGATCGATGACTCGTACTTCGAGTATTATTTGTTTACAGATATACTACGCATCAAATTGGCGCAGTTGCCGGGGAAGTGGCGTTCTAGTATTAACATTAGTGAAATCTTTATTTTAGGAGTCTAGTCCATTTATTTATTTATTTTATTTTATTTTATTTTTTTTGCTAACCCATAACAAGTTCCTTGTTCTTGAGTGTGATTTTGCTTTGAATCTAAGAACTTGGCTTTGTATGCGTACACGATCTTTTGGGAAAGAAGGATTATTACCTTTTGAACTTTGAGATTGAGAAAAGAGCCAAGTTTCTTAGAAAACAAACTAGGATGACACATGTACAAGAAAACCAAGTTGAAGAGAGATCAATGTCTTACTACCTTGCTCCGGATGTTGAGGAGCATGGTAGAATCAATATTCCAAATGTGGAGGCCAACAACTTTGTGATCAATCCGGCCATACTCAACATGGCTGCGACGGATCGATTTGGAGGTACACCCACAGAGGATCCCAATGCTCACATCACCAAGTTTCTACGACTTTGTGGCACCTTCAAGATGAATGGAGTCACTCAAGATGCTATCAGACTTAGACTTTTCCCCTTCACACTGAAGGACAGGGCTGATGATTAGTTATCCTCACATCCGGATAACCATTTTGACACTTGGGAAAAATTACATGGAGAATTTTTGAAGAAGTTCTATCCTGTCTCCAAGACTCAAAGGATGAGAAGGGCAATTCAAAACTTTAAGCAACTGGCAACTAAGTCCCTCACTGAGTCTTGGGAGAGATTTAAGGAATTGAAGAGGCAATGTCCACACCATGGGTTTCAAAGTTGGGATTTGATGATGTCTTTCTATGAAGGATTGCTTGATAATTTCAGGATTTTGGTGGATGCTTCTTCGGGTGGTTCGTTCACAATTCTAGAGCCAACACAAGCCGAGGAACTATTGGAGAAAATTGCTATGAATGGATCTACTTGGTACACGGAGAGGTCTCCACAAAAGCTTGTAGGAGGAATTCATGAGGCTGGACAATTAACCGATTTGTCAACAAAGTTGGATAATGTGGTTTCCATGGTTCAAAAGCTTGTCCAAATCACCATCCAAAAATACAATGTGAGTAATG